TGGAGCATTATAAAATTGAGATCACATACTGTAAATAAAAGCCATCTGTACAGCCATCTGGTTACAAGCAACCAGATGGCTATACGGACAGTTAGAAGTGTATTCCTATATAAGCTTTAGTTTGTTTGTTTAGTTAAGTTATCGCAACGCAACAAACACTTGGGCGTTCTGCCTAGGGGGAATGCCTTCCAGGAGGTCTTTTTAAGGCTAACTGGTCCCTATTCAGGCGTTACAGATGTAGAGAAATCCCGGCAAACTCCACGTGGTTAGCCTGTCCTGGCTTGGCACGAACCCACGACCGAACTCCCAGTGTCCAGAGAACGGAATCGCTTGGCCACTGGTGGGCCAGCGGTTTAGTAGTTAAGTTAAAATATTGCAGGCTTGATTTTTCTTTTGCAATTTTTTATGTATTAAGTTAAAGTTGAATGTTAAATATAAGTTTTTGCAATTGTTGTAGGTATCAGTATTTATATAATAGTGACTTAAGAGGATCTAGTGAAGACCGAAATGTATCTCACGAATAAAATTAGTCTTTTATTGATGTGATCTCGATTTTTTAACGCTCCAATACAACTTGATAAGCCTCGTATATCATACAACTGTACCAATTGGAAGTTTGAGATAATTAGTAATTAAATTTGTTGTAATTAAATTTGATAAATGTTTTAAATGTTTCCGTTTACATTTTCTAAAACAAAGTACACAAATTCTTCGTAACACAACAAAAAGTAATAGAAATTCATTTCCTCCACATGTGGGCAATTAATTAATAATCACTATACTGCTTCCTTACCGGACACACACACACTGGTCAGCACCGACCCAACAACTCCAAAAGGAATGCACTAAAAGGGGCCACACATGTCAAGAAAATTCTTTGAGGAATAACTGGTCTTGAGGAAATTCAGAATTTCCAAGAGTCCCTAAGTTTTCTCCGTATCTAGAGAAAAACCTCTATCTTCGCCCTCTCGACGGCCCTGCATACCAGATAAACTGTCGCTGTTTGATAAAGCAAATGCATCTCTTATCAGATACAATATAATATGTTTGCATAGCNTAAGATATTTTTCAACTTTCAAAGAATTCACTTATTCGTACATAACATTAAATACAAAAATACAGTACCATTTATATACACCTAAAGACTAGATCTCACGAGCGGACAGCCAGATCGTCGAGACGGTTAAGGCGTCTACCTAAAACCTACCGCTTTGGAGACACCAGAAGTTTTTCCAAAGGAGTTCATCCCGATATGTCTACCCCCGTTCCTCATCACTTCGTTACTCCCACTGCGGACGAGGCGAACGCATGATAAGTAAGGGAAAAAGTCTTTCATAATGCCTACAGTACGGAAAGAGTTTTAAAAAAGTCTCACGGGCATAAAATATTATGTTCGAGGTACCGTCGTTCACATATACATATGGGGAAAAAATACGCCAATACACAACTCTGTGTATGAATGGGTAACAAGTTTAATATTTCACAATGTCGATACAACAAATTAATTATATATTAATTAATTAAGTAACGTTATTTCAACAAATACACGATGTCTGGTTCTTTTTCCATTCTCTCCGTCCTGTGGGCACTAATAGGGCTTTTGTTCATATATTTTGCAAGTTCCGCTAAGCCCAAATTGAGAGTGCCCGGATGATGAAGAATAGGACTTGACATATCCAAGATAGACCACCATTAAAAATTTCTGAGTTGTCGACCAGAACTCGAATCAGGGTTCCCAGAATGGCAGATGGGCGAGTCAGCCAAAGGCGCTAATTTGTTATAATTTGAAATATTACACTTTTTTACGTTTTTAAATACATATAGGGAGAAGGTGGTATTATGGAACCACTTCATTTCAAACTGATAATAAAGGCGAACTGTAGCGGATTGTTGCTAAACTGCACTAGGCAGACATCCATAGCAAGGGAAAACCCGTTTTACTTCAGGTAAACGGTTGTCCGTAGTGAATTAGCATATTTGTGTTTTTCGAAATTCGAAAGTTTTGAATGCTAAGTGAATTTAATTATTTCTAAAATATAAATCGTGTAGTTGTAGGTTCACTGGTGCATGTATTCCGTTCCAGAGACTTAGGGGTACATATTAATCTGTGTGATGTTCACGGTTTTTTACTGATGTCCAGCGCACAAACTTATTTATATACAGTATATAAAAACAAACGGTTGAAATATATTCTTTATAAATGAGATACTACAGATGTAAGACAAATTTGAGATTATAAAAATTTGTAAATAATTAGAAAACAAATTAAAATATTTGCGAAATGGCATAAATTTTTGAAATTAAATTTAATAAAAATAATTTACTTAGACATAATTGTTAAACTCAACTGTTTTTCTTCCCTTCATTAAAGTGTGGGTTCAAACTGTTCGCTGCTTGAACACATTGAATGCATATTAGACAGTAGCCGGATGAACGAAAGGCCGAATGATTAAAAGTGTCGCCTACCGCTTTGGAGAATCCGGAAACTAATTTGGACGTTTCCGTTAGGACCCAACATATCCGAGATAGACCACCATTAAAAATTCTTGGGTTATCGTCCGGTCCACAATCGGGTGGCAGGAAACGACCCGGTCACCTCATTGTGAGCCAGATTAATCTGACTATGGGCTGTATGCTTTAGGCCCTCTTAGTGCCTACAGGACAAAAAGAGTAAAAAAAACAAAAAAACAAAAAATCAGTTGCAGAGTGAATAAACCACTGAAAGCTGGATCGCTGGATATTTGGTCGTAGATTCGTGCCTGACCAACAAGCTAGTCACGTGGAATTTCCACAGTTTTTTCCATGTATGTAACACCTAAATACAGCGCTTTTTTTGTCATAGAACGCAATGGAACAGCGTTCCACCACCTTTTTTCGATATATTTTAAAAGTTTTAATAGAATTTTTGAAAATTTGATGTTTGGTCTGCGTTGAATCGCTCTGTTGAACATAGAAGATCGGCAACAAAATTATTAAGACGGTCCTGCTCCTGCTTGTGTACCGAATCTTGTGTACGATGCATGCGTACTGCAAACTTTTCTTCTTCTTCTTCTTCTTCTTCTTCTTTGTTAATATGGAGATTTTAGCTCTTTCTAGGCTCTTTCTCCGAATTCCCCACTCTCAGGTTCCCTTACTTAAATCGTCCAGTTCGTGCGATGTATGCTTCTAACGCCATCACTAGATGGCGGGGTGTGATCTGTGTCGTCGGCGCGTATACTTCCCACAAAGTACTCGTTTCTGTCAGTCTGACACCCAGGGCAGACTGCAAACTTATTTTGTGGTGACTGTGACATATTGCTCGGCTCGTGTTTGGTCGTGTCATGATTTGGCGGCAATGCAGGAATCGCAGTGCTAATTGCGACCGGTGACTGTCATTTCGATTGTTTTATATTTTAGCCCGGGACGCCCCCTAGTGGGCGTTCCACCACATTTTTTTTCCCGAAAAAAGCACTGCCTAAATAGGATCAATTTCTCACAGAAAGTTGTCCTGGGAGACACTCCTCCCAGGACAGTGTTGTGTTGGCTAATCCTATCAATCCAATCCAATCGAGAGCCTATTAAATATGAACATAACAGATAACTAAATTTAAATCGTTAATGTTGTTATAAGCTTATTGCCTCTAATGAATAACATAATTGTTTCAAACTACCAATTGGTGATGTATGAGGCTTATCAAACTATATTGGAGCATTATAAAATTGAGATCACATACTGTAAATAAAAGCCATCTGTACAACCATCTGGTTACAATCAACCAGATGGCTATACAGACAGTTAGGAGTGTATTCCTATATAAGCTTTAGTTTGTTTGTTTAGTTAAGTTATGGCAACGCAACAAACAATTGGGCGATCTGCCTAGGGGGATGCCTACCAGGAGGTCTTTTTAAGGGTAACTGGCCCCTATTCAGGCTTTACAGACGTGGAGAAATCCCGGCAAACTCCACGTGGTTAGCCCGTCCTGGCTAGGCGCGAACCCACAACCGAACTCCTAATGTTCAGAGAACGGAATCGCTTGGCCACTGGTGGGCCAGCGGTTTAGTAGTTAAGTTAAAATATTGCAGGCTTGCTTTTTCTTTTGCAATTTTTTATGCATTAAGTTAAAGTTGAATGTTAAATATAAGTTTTTGCAATTGTTGTAGGTATCAGTATTTATATAATAGTGACTTAAGAGGATCTAGTGAAGACCGAAATGTATCTCACGAATAAAATTAGTCTTTTATTGATGTGATCTCGATTTTTTAACGCTCCAATACAACTTGATAAGCCTCGTATATCATACAACTGTACCAATTGGAAGTTTGAGATAATTAGTAATTAAATTTGTTGTAATTAAATTTGATAAATGTTTTAAATGTTTCCGTTTACATTTTCTAAAACAAAGTACACAAATTCTTCGTAACACAACAAAAAGTAATAGAAATTCATTTCCTCCACATGTGGGCAATTAATTAATAATCACTACACTGCTTCCTTACCAGACACATACACACACTGATCAGCACCGACCCACCACTCCAAAAGGAATGCACTAAAAAGGACCACACATGTCAAGGAAATTCTTTTAGGAATAACTGGTCTTGAGGAAATTCAGAATTTCCAAGAGTCCCTAAGTTTTCTCCGTATCAAGAGAAAAACCTCTATCTCCGCCCTCTCGACGGCCCTGCATACCAGATAAACTGTCGCTGTTTGATAAAGCAAATGCATCTCTTATCAGATACAATATAATATGTTTGCATAGCAAAATTCACGACTTAATTTAATAAATAAACACGAATTTCCGTGCTAAACAGTACATTTTGTAACATTTTACAATTGTAATTTTGATCATTTTTTTAAGTACACGTAATGAAAATCGTTACCTTATTTTTTTAAATCATAAGCTGAATTTTTGATCGAATAACAAAGCTTTGATTTTTTAATTTATTATTCCCTTTAACAAATATTAGTTATAATTGTTATGTATGCGGCATTCCCACTTTCTACGCACTTTCGTTCATAACAACATATAACCCGAAGTCACGTGAGTTGCATCACATGAATGATTCGCCATGTTCTGTGAGGGAAGGTGTGTATTGTAAATGTTATGACAGGAATTAAAATTACGGTCATTCTTCGCTTATTCCCAGTTATTTGATTTAACTTTCGGAAGGAAAAGAAATGTAAGTTACATACGAATTTACTTACGGATATAATTAGTTTTATCGTAATACAGCTGTAATTTAATATTATAAGTTGATAATCCAATTACAGTACATCCCGAATGGTTTTGGTTTCGATAAGTTATCTGCTAACATAAATTTGTTAGGTATTGTCTAGATTCGTATGATCTTCAAATAATTAATTTTAGTAAGTAATAGTTTATTTGATTCGTATTGCAGCCGTGGAATTATTATTTGAGATTTAAATAAAGAAATTTCCATAAATATTCTACATTATTTGTAATATATAAACTTTATTAACAGTAAGCCTAATGTGGAAAGTTGTAAATGATATATTTAATAATTTTTATAATTGTTATATATAAATTACATATTTTAAAAATGTAATTAATAAAAGAATGAATGCCTGATTTTTTTATTTGTTTACTTGTATATTTTAGAATTAAATAATCATTTTAAACTATAAATATGTATTCTGTAATTGGAATTAACAAAATTTTACATCGGTTTAATATTAAACATGCTGGTAGCATTACATTTTTGAATACATAAAAATTTCGTATTTACTCGCATATAAGATGAGGTTTTTATTCATTTATCACAGCTTCAAATTCCTAGGTCGTCCTATATGTGCGAGCGAAAGATTCTTTACGTTTTTGCAAATTATTGTAGTGAACAGTGTAATAGCATTTTTTACCGGATGCTTACCCTCTTGTATTTTATAGTTAATTCTAAAAAACATAATATTTTATTTGTGTCATTTGAGTCATTCTTGTATATTGTCAGGAGTAAAGATGAATAGCAGTAGGAAAAGCAAAGCTTTTGAATTGAATTCCAGATTGAAATTCCAAAATCACACAGGAGCCTGATGTAAGTTTTAATCCATTCTCACATGAAAATGGATGATTATTCGGAAATCAGAATTCAGAGAAACTCATAAGTGTAATCAATGGAGAGTGGATTAGACTGTTAAGAATTGGCAAAAAAAAGTTTCCTGATTGTCCGGCTTTACATGAACAAATTATGTTGTTGATTTTACAAGATTTTTCTGTAAAGTTTAAAATGCCAGTAATTTTTGTGGGACATGTGCATTTACGCTCATTTGATATTTTACTTGTGATTAAACAAAATAAAATTAGAATTGTATTAATGAATCTAATTTTCTGTATTTGATCTTTAAAGTCACACCTTGTCTTATATGCGAGTAAATACAGTACATAGCATTACATTTTCAAATAATCATCTTTAGATGTAACATAAAAAAATAAATAAATTGCACAAGAATAATGAGTTAGATTAAATGCTTATTTACAGCTTCTTTTATAAAATGCAAAATAAAACTATATAAATTATATCATAAATTATATTAAATTATATGACTAAAAATGTAATAGGTTTATGGTACAAGTTTATTCAGAAGTAAAAATTTTCTAGTTGATTAATTAATATTCACATGCTTATTTTTAATGCCATTGAAATGCTTTTGTTTAAAACTTTAACAAAGTTCTGTACACTTAGATGCTATACAATTCTGACATGTGTTTCAGACTATCTATCTTAACTTGTAAATTAATGAAGTTATCATTTATAGACACAAAGTTTTAAATAATTTTTAAGTTGATAATGCCTTAAAGTATTTTGTGTGTTTAAAATATTTTAAGGAATCTTGAGTGACAGATCTGACAAAATAAAGTATTACATATTCAATTTATTTTAATATTATTTTGTATAAGCATAGGTATATTAATTTTGAACTATATTGAATTTTTTATATTTAAATTATTGTTTAAATAAGTGTTATATTTGTTTAATTGATGCTTATTGTTTATTATTATTTATTGAGGTAAATTAGTTAAAGTAATTTAAATAATTCATGTTGTTGTATATAATAAGCTAAACATACAAACCAGAATACTTAAATATTTCTCATATTTTCTACTAGATGACAAATTTTAATGCAATCCTGAAATTGTAACAAAATTTTAAAGGACTTTATGTTAAAGTACTTTATTGTTTAACGTAAAAATCTTTAATTTTGCATTTTGAAATGTATAATAAATAATAGCTTAGTTGCATTTTACATCAATTATTAATATGTACAAGGCCAAAGCAATTGTGTTTTGAAGAACATAAATTAACTTGATATTGTTTCAGCTAAGTAACTCAAATAGGCAGAGATTAGTTTCAAGTTTAATTTTCAATTCAATGTATTTTATGTTTTAGAAATAGGTAGCATTTGAATAACCTAATCATTCTTAACCTTCTGTAGATTGTATCCATGTGATTCCCTGGCTTTTTTCATTAAAATGTGACTTTTTCATAGATATTTATCATCTGCAGTTGTTACTTCATCTATTCTCCTACCTGTACTATTATAGATGCAAAAATCATGGAAAAAATTTTTCTTTTGTCAGTTTGAGCATGTGAGAATTCCTGCACCATATTTTATGGTATATGGAAGTTTTTACAATTGAAAATTCTTCAAAAATAAAAAAATTGAGTTATGCTTACATATTTCCATATCTTATTACTCTACATGGAATTTTATTTGTCGTCTTTTTATTTTATGAGCGTATAAATATGGAAATAATAGATAGATAGAGAATGGTGATTTCTTTGCAATTGTATTCACTGTGATATTGAAATAAACAACTATCTAAATATATAAAATTACTTGTCCTGACTGATTGACTTAGTCACTGATTCATCATTGCCCAGAGCAAATCGCTGAACCTAAAGAGGTAAAATTTGGTACACAGTTAGGATACGTCATGGAAACGCACACTAAGAAGGAATTTTTCGAAATTCCCAAGCAGAAGGGAGAGGGAGAGCATTAAGGCTTAACCGGAAGAACAGCTTCTACTGTACTATTTTAGATGCAATTTTTTGTTTTTAACTGTGTATTAGTAGAGTACACCATGGGAATGCACACTAAGAACAGATTTTATGAAATTCCCCAGCGGGGGGAGATGGAGAGCATTAAGGCTTAACTTGAAGAACGACTTTTGAAATTGATTCCATACTTTCCCTTAAATTGATAACATTTCAGACATTGTTATAAATATTTTCATATATTTTGATTTTTTAACCAAATGTTCAAACTGTTTTAAATTTGAATTTGTTGTTGCATATTGGTTCGATTATAGAACGATTGTAAACATTCCAGAAAATTGATCAAATTGAAAACAGTTTGTTTGATTCTCAGAAATTCTCATTATTCTCAGCTGGTAAGTGTTATATAACAATTACTATGGTTGTTGAAATACTGAATATAAATGGGGTATAACTGTTACTCCACGGGCAAAGTCGCGGGTAACAGCTAGTAGTGACATATAAACAATTAACATCGCTAAACCTGACATGCTACAAAGCTAGACACCAATCAATGCCAAAATCTATCGGGCTAGACATGGCTATAATACTAAATAAGTTATGCAACCAATTTGGCACTAGAGGGAAGCATTAGGTGCCATCTCTTAATAACTTAAATTAATTAATTAAAATTATAATTATTAAAATAATTTAGAACTACTGGAAGAAAAAGTGACAGTTTATTGAAATTGCTAATACTACATTTTGACAATGAAAGTTAACTGCGATTAAGCTTTTTTAACAAATGGATTATTTTAACACCATTTCTACAATGGTGTTTATCTTCTTTAAGTAGGTTAATGGTATGACATCACTCATTTATTTTGCAATGTTTTTTTTGATTTTGTAAGTTTATCTTGTTTAATTCAGAACAACTTGATTATGTGTAATATTTTACTATATATAAGAAAATGAGTGATAGGCCTAGCAGATTGTCAAATTGGATTGATAAAATTTATACATTAGTATGGAAGNAAAATTAAAAAAAAAACTACAAATTTTTAGATTTAAAAAAATTAAGAAATCTTCCAAAATAACAAATACTGTATTAGTTGTTATATTAATTTAAATTATTAATGAAATGTAATAATTTTCGTCTCAAAACTGCTAGTGGGTACATATTATTAATGAAATTTAATAATATGTACCCACTAGCTTCTTAGATTTAACATTATCTTAAATTACAAGAAAATTGTGATTATTCATGAAATAAATTTTATATAAATGTTTTAATAATGATTTTTGTCATGAAATTTGATCATTGCTGAGCTGTCTGTGTTTGACTAGAAGTGTACATTTACAGTTTGACTGTAGTGGAGTGGACATCAGAAAATGTAGCAGAATTCTGTAAACTCTTCTCTCATAGTGTTGGACTGTAAACTGACTCTAAGGCCACAGTAATTGTCATGGGATACTAATTTAAATGTAATAATTCACACTTGATGAAAGTCTGTGACCGCAGAATGTCACCACTTGCAGCAGCATCACCCACAGCAGAATGGAGGCTGTACAACATTCTCAGATTGGTTATCAACTATTGCATCATATCAAATAAGTCACTCAAATGGAAGTGGTAGTTGTGCAAAGAGTGTATAGTCAACATATCTGCCTAGTGGTGGATTTTTCAGAGTATGATAAAATTCATCAGAGCTTGGAAATAATATTCTGAAGTAATTAAAATTTTTGATTCATCCTCTCAAAGCTGGTTGAACAACATATAAAGACTTCTTTCTAAGAATTAAAGTCTCAAGAACACTACTAATGCATGGTAATGAGCATATTGATGATTAGCAAATCAAAACAAATTCTTTGTCTTCCATCTGCAGATCCCACAGCAAAAACAATGCACTGTGCAGTAATGTAAATCTGTTTTTGACTAATTTCTTATTTATTTTTTATTTTAGTAAACATTTATTATCTATAGTTGTATATTGTTTTACGTTTATTGAGATTGCTAATACTACATTTTGACAATGAAAGTTAACTGCGATTAAGCTTTTTTAACAAATGGATTATTTTAACACCATTTCTACAATGGTGTTTATCTTCTTTAAGTAGGTTAATGGTATGACATCACTCATTTATTTTGCAATGTTTTTTTTTGATTTTGTAAGTTTATCTTGTTTAATTCAGAACAACTTGATTATGTGTAATATTTTACTATATATAAGAAAATGAGTGATAGGCCTAGCAGATTGTCAAATTGGATTGATAAAATTTATACATTAGTATGGAAGCTCATTTACATGAACTTTGATCAAATAAATGAAATTTTGTATATTTAAAAAATGCAAAAATGTAAAGAATTATTATTATTATATTACTGAAGACAATCATGTTATTGTTTAATGTAAGCAATTGAAACAGCAAAACATTTAATTACTGAAGACTCATATGCATCTTAACAGATATTTTGCTTGATCCTCTTCTGGAATTAGCAACTAAAACTATGACATTATGTTAATTTAAATCAACCTTGAATTCTATATGAACATGTCTAGATTTCTATTCTTATTCATCCTGATTAGATTAATCAGCACACAAAACATGTTAACAATAATTTATTAAAGATTGGAAATTAGTGAAAATAGTGATCTCAAAAACTTTTCAATGATATCTCTACAAAATTGCCGCATTGTATGGCTAAAGCTTTTATTAATTTTTCAATATGGTGCTTAAAAGTTACTTTACTGTCAACTATCTACCTTGAAATACTTAAATCACCAGTATGTAAAATTTGTATGGCTTTAATTTCCCAAAATTATGTTTCATAAATATATTCAAACAGAAAAAGTATAATTAACAAAATTTTTAATACACCTACAACTTTGTTAATTAATAATTAACAAAGTTGTAGGTGTATTTGCTTAAGATATCGGGCTTTCAATTGATGTGTGTATTTATATAACAAAATTTTTGTTGTATATGCAAGATTTTTTCAATTAAATTTTGGATAATCAATCAATCATTCGTTTATTTGTTATGACTTTTACCTTTACTCAAAACAGCATTAATGAATTACAAATATTATTATATTATTAATTATCTAATTACAATTGTGTATAATTTAAATTAATAAAACTATGTTAACATTTTTAGCAAATAACAGAAAAATTTATAAATTTTATACATAGTTACAAAACTTAAATTATCATCATATAAACAAGTCATATTAAAATCAATTGTTGAAAAGAATCCTTTAAATGTTCAGTGAATTTACATGATACAAACAAATGATGCTTAACACTTTTAAAAATTCTGTTACATAAGGGACAATTGGAGTAAGCTGCTATATTAATTCTATGACTATTTAATACATATTAAAAATATAAAAGTGAAATATTAAAATTAAAAAAAAAACTACAAATTTTTAGATTTAAAAAAATTAAGAAATCTTCCAAAATAACAAATACTGTATTAGTTGTTATATTAATTTAAATTATTAATGAAATGTAATAATTTTCGTCTCAAAACTGCTAGTGGGTACATATTATTAATGAAATTTAATAATATGTACCCACTAGCTTCTTAGATTTAACATTATCTTAAATTACAAGAAAATTGTGATTATTCATGAAATAAATTTTATATAAATGTTTTAATAATGATTTTTGTCATGAAATTTGATCATTGCTGAGCTGTCTGTGTTTGACTAGAAGTGTACATTTACAGTTTGACTGTAGTGGAGTGGACATCAGAAAATGTAGCAGAATTCTGTAAACTCTTCTCTCATAGTGTTGGACTGTAAACTGACTCTAAGGCCACAGTAATTGTCATGGGATACTAATTTAAATGTAATAATTCACACTTGATGAAAGTCTGTGACCGCAGAATGTCACCACTTGCAGCAGCATCACCCACAGCAGAATGGAGGCTGTACAACATNGATATTATGCTGTAAAAATAAAAAAGTCGAAGTGACTGTTGATAAAAATATTATGGAAAGATTAAGAAGGATTAAATTTTATGAAATGACTCTGAAAGTTATCTAAAGAATAAGAAAATACTATATTTTAAATATAATTATATATCTTCTATCTCTTTACTTTGTTCACATTTTTGGAAAGATAAATGCTCAATTCTTTATATCTCTTTATTTAAATATTGTAGTTCTTTAACTAAAGCACTACTTTCGGCTGTAACTGGAATTAAAGGCTAGATTACAGTGTCCATGTTTTGCTCAAGCGGAAAGCATTTCTAAACTATGATGCAGTGACATGTAGCAATAGCTGCTTGTGACGTCATTTTTGCTACACTCTCTGAATAAAGAAACATGGCTTAACAGCCAACTGCAGGGCCCCCTGCAGAATTTTTCAGAAGGCCTCTCTTTCACTTGTTGCAGATCCAGAAGCAAATCTGAAGACAATCTTTAATTTATTTAGATTCATAAATATAACCTAAAATAGTTTTAGTGGGGACCATTTATATATTAATAAATATAATTTTGTTTTATTTTCATTTATTTCTAACTAGCTGATATGACAAAGCATTTATAATTTTATTATTTCTATCTGTAAAAAGCCAATAAGGCTCAGAGTATGTGACATTTACTTTGGGAGAATAACAGTTATTTTCTTTCTGTTTGTCCCATTTTTGATTTAAATAAATAATATTTAACAGAGAAATAATGTTTGGTATCAGAGTTATGGAAAAAGTTTCTTTTGGTCTGCATGATTATATATTAATATTTGTTTTCGTGTATTTTCATCAGTAAGATTGACTGGGTATAATGATTGGAAGATAATATAAATGCTTTCATTTTCTAAGTGAGATATAAGTGTACTCACTCTTTCTAGATTTTCTGTAATTTCTTCTGTACTGTTTTGTTAATTCATCTACTTCTGGTGCATTGTCAAAATCAAGTTTTTTTGGCCATCATCCATTTGAAAAATCAGTCTAGTTTTGTTTTTTTTTATTTTATTGTCTTTTTTGCAGTATTCTCTAGAAAATTTCTTAAGTAAGACTCATTTTAAATTTTTTATTATAAAATAAATAAAAATACCAAGTTCTCTGGCATCAGAGTAAAAATATTCTGATATAACTATTATTACTACTACTAGTTCTTTTAGAATGTAACAAACTCTTTTACTTTTCAGTAACTTTCTCTTTGTTCTGGCAATATTTTGTTTCAGTTTACAGAATTCAGTTTAAACAATAATTTACAATTTTTTGAATTTGAATTCATGTAATTCTGGACACACTCAATTGACAAGCACTTTGTTTTCATTACCAGCTAAATGCTATATATCAGTCAAATCCCAGCAGATTATATCAATGTGCTGGCCACATGGATCTAATTTTGAAAACTCATNATTTGACTGTTTTTTATTTAGTTTTTAAATTTATTTTATCCTTAATTATTATAAGCAATGGCCAAAGAATAACATGTTTTTATTCTACAAATTGTATGTGTAATAATTATATTAATTATATTTTTCCAGAAATAAAGAAAACATGCCACTTCTATATTCAGTTGTATCTCGAGGAACAACAGTACTCGCAAAATATGCAAGTTGTGCTGGAAATTTTTCAGAAGTTACTGAACAGATTATTGCAAAAATATCACCAGAAACACCAAAACTAACGTATTCTCATGGAAGGTAAATAAGTTTTAAATTGTAAATTATGTAAATGTTCAGTTTTTGTTATAAAAAAAATTATAATTTTCCTTATTAAAATAGCAATAAAAATAATGAATTTTGGTTTTGTATGTTTGCAATAAAAGTTTTGTTTAAAATGAACTTCACCGATATCTGCTTGTTCATGCATGCTCATTGTGTAGCTACATGAAACTTCAAACACTCATAAGTTCATCCTTTGAAAAAATGTTTGATAAAAATTTGTTGTTTTTGATGCAGAATTATAATATGCAATGAAAAAATGGTGGTTACCATTTAAATTTATCAAGACATGGCACCTAATGCATACCTCTAGGCCAAATTACTTGACATTTAATTATTAATAATAGTATTATTACACCTTTATATAATCCAACAATTGTTTGGCATTAAGAAAATGAAGTCATCCCATTTTTACTGATTGCAGCACCAGGACTATAAGACTGCATTTCTTTATGCAGTGCTCAAGAAGCACTTTACAGTGAACACTCTGAAACCTGTTTCTAAATGCAGTGCTGCAATGTAGCAAAACATTTCTAAACGTTTGCTGCAGCAAAGATAAAGTAGCTTTTACATCCGGTGCACCTGTAAAGCAAAATGGACGCTTGTGTGTATAATATGATATTTTTCTGTAAAAATAAAAAAGTCAAAGTGACTGTTGATAAAAATATTATGGAAACATTTAAGATGGATTAAATTTTATAAAATGACTCTGAAAGTTATCTAAAGAATAAGAAAATACTATATTTTAAATATAATTATATATCTTCTATTTTTTTACTTTGTTCACATTTTTGGAAAGATAAATGCTCAATTCTTTATATCTCTTTATTTAAATATTGTAGTTCTTTAACTAAAGCACTACTTTCGGCTGTAACTGGAATTAAAGGCTAGATTACAGTGTCCATGTTTTGCTCAAGCGGAAAGCATTTCTAAACTATGATGCAGTGACATGTAGCAATAGCTGCTTGTGACGTCATTTTTGCTACACTCTCTGAATAAAGAAACATGGCTTAACAGCCAACTGCAGGGCCCCCTGCAGAATTTTTCAGAAGGCCTCTCTTTCACTTGTTGCAGATCCAGAAGCAAATCTGAAGACAATCTTTAATTTATTTAGATTCATAAATATAACCTAAAATAGTTTTAGTGGGGACCATTTATATATTAATAAATATAATTTTGTTTTATTTTCATTTATTTCTAACTAGCTGATATGACAAAGCATTTATAATTTTATTATTTCTATCTGTAAAAAGCCAATAAGGCTCAGAGTATGTGACATTTACTTTGGGAGAATAACAGTTATTTTCTTTCTGTTTGTCCCATTTTTGATTTAAATAAATAATATTTAACAGAGAAATAATGTTTGGTATCAGAGTTATGGAAAAAGTTTCTTTTGGTCTGCATGATTATATATTAATATTTGTTTTCGTGTATTTTCATCAGTAAGATTGACTGGGTATAATGATTGGAAGATAATATAAATGCTTTCATTTTCTAAGTGAGATATAAGTGTACTCACTCTTTCTAGATTTTCTGTAATTTCTTCTGTACTGTTTTGTTAATTCATCTACTTCTGGTGCATTGTCAAAATCAAGTTTTTTTGGCCATCATCCATTTGAAAAATCAGTCTAGTTTTGTTTTTTTTTATTTTATTGTCTTTTTTGCAGTATTCTCTAGAAAATTTCTTAAGTAAGACTCATTTTAAATTTTTTATTATAAAATAAATAAAAATACCAAGTTCTCTGGCATCAGAGTAAAAATATTCTGATATAACTATTATTACTACTACTAGTTCTTTTAGAATGTAACAAACTCTTTTACTTTTCAGTAACTTTCTCTTTGTTCTGGCAATATTTTGTTTCAGTTTACAGAATTCAGTTTAAACAATAATTTACAATTTTTTGAATTTGAATTCATGTAATTCTGGACACACTCAATTGACAAGCACTTTGTTTTCATTACCAGCTAAATGCTATATATCAGTCAAATCCCAGCAGATTATATCAATGTGCTGGCCACATGGATCTAATTTTGAAAACTCATAAATTGTAATTGAAAATAATATTTATATTCAAAATAATTTTGTGCATTTTCATATAATATATATATGTATTACACACACACACAAACCTACCTTCTTTTCTTCTACAAGAAATTTAATTGGACATTCTTAATTAAAATAGCTTCATGGTCCACTGATTCTAATTGTGGACCCCAATATATTGCTGGGCCCCTCCATATTAGGGTGTCTGTAGAGGCATTATGATCATGACCATGTGTTTGACATCTATTATAGCATCTATGATAAAAGCAATTTCCCCATCTTGTGGCTTCCTTGAAGTCCAACGGATTTTTTTTTATTTATAATATACATATTTGTTGAGTTTTTTTTTTTGGTGGATTGATTAAAATGAAAAGAATAAAAACTGGAATGAAATTCAAGTTCATTTGTAAGTAATATACAGTTAATACATATTAATCATTTATAACAATTGTGTTACAGCTGAACTTTATTCCATTTTAAAGTATTTTTCTGTTTTTTTAAGTGTACATACTATTTGATAATGATTAATTTCATAGATTTATTTTATATGTTAATATGTTTTAATTTGATTAAAAAATCATATTTGAATTACACAAAATTTTTATAAAAATTTGAATTATCAGATAATCATCAAAATAATTTATGTATATTTTGAAAAATATATTATTAGAATGAGATACATCACTTTTTCTGAAACAATTTTATAACAACTTTTAAAATTAACATCATCTGTCCTTTTATGGAAAAATGGGCTACTTTATATAATAAAGACATTATGAATTCTATAAGTCATTCATTCAGTAGGATACTGAAATGTATTATGTTTAAGTATTAATAATAACAATTAAAGTTAGTTTTTGAAATTCTTCTAATTTTGAAAACACCAACACAATCCTCTGACTTAAAAATCATTAAATAATAATTTTTCATTTCATATTTATACTTTATTTAACAAAATGAATGTCATTTCATTTCAGTTTTATTATTATAATGATAACTAATAACATTACATATATTGACAATACAATAACATGTTGTATTGTTAATATATAAACAAAGGCAAGCATTTCACAATTTAAGCTAGGCTATTATTTTACATGTGCATAATGCATATGTAAAAATACTTAGAATATAATAAAAATTACAGAGACATTAAATCTTCACTGGTTACTGGTAAAAAAAAAAAATGTATTATAACAATGTATAGAAGCTTACTATTTCAGTTAAACTTTTAATTTTTGGTAAGCTCTCAAAGATCATTACTTATTTTAATGATTTTTATTTATACATATGATTTCAGAGATATTTTGAGAAATTAGTTATCCTGTTCTTTTATTACAGAAAAATGAAATAAAAAGGAACTATCTTATTATATGATATTAATGAAAAACTTGATTTATAATAATGTGAGAGCCGAGGGGTATGACTACGTCTTACCTCCTTGGATCGGCTTTCAAGTTGGAGGGACTTGCCCATTAGTCAGAGATGGTTTTAATTAATTAATGTTTGTTTCTTTCATTTATCCCAAGGAAACGGGACTAATTTTTTTAGTTTGGTCGAGTGTAGGAGGGAGGAGTGACATTGGTAAGGTAACAGGCAATATATGAGTAAAGGAGGACGTCAATTAACAAGAAAAACAATGATTTATTGGTTAACTACATCGACAAAATAATGATCTAGCATAGAAAAATTCCGAACGAATTTCCTGAGTCCCTAAAGCGCAAAGGGGGCCGAGAGAGAGTTCACGGAAGTTGGTTCCATACCTCTTTATGTATTTGGATCTCCAAGAGAGGGAAAGAATTCACCGAGACGTCGAGGATTGAATCAGGGCACAAAGTTATAGATAAATCCCAGGGTATGTGGCACTTCTTCTACTGTCGTTGAGCGACTCCCCGGAGGGGGGGACAGGTGGCTTTTATCGTTTTGTGGTGGGAAAACTGTCATGTGACTAATTAGTTGCAAGGTGAAAGGTGTGTGGGGAGGTCAGAGGTGTCCCTGGAACCTAAATAAAATGAAAAAATCAGATGGTAACTATAAACTTTAAGTCTTATAGTGTGGGAATAGATGTCGAGATGGGCGAATGTTTTCCTTGACAAAAGGGGAGGTTAAAAGCTCTTTTCAGTTTTTTTCAACACTAGCAATGTTGTTTCTTTGGAAATTTAATTTTTTTTTTTTTATAATAATAATAATAATTTTTGTAATAACAGGACATTGATCGGGGGAAAAATCAGTATAAAATCTGGATTTCACAATAGTGTACAAGTTTTATATTGAGAAATCAGAAATTAATAATGTGCAGTTAGTTGAGACAAATAAAATAACAGGAAGAACTATTAGAGAACCCCACTTATTTTATTGACATTATTAATGAATATCATGTAAAAATTACTGTGGTTTGAAGATGATTTATTTATCATCGTCTTCATCCTACTGACAATAAGATAGAGAATACTTACTTTTTGTAAATGATTTGAAGAACAGTTGATTTTAAATATATTAAGAAGTAATAAAAAAGTAAAAAATATATTTCCAAACACTAAATTTAAAATCTGCAAAAATGTTGTGTATAGCACATGGTTGTGTAAAGATTAATAATTTGAAACAAAATAATTTTGTGCATTTTCATATAATATATATATGTATTACACACACACACACACACACAAACCTACCTTCTTTTCTTCTACAAGAAATTTANGCTATATATCAGTCAAATCCCAGCAGATTATATCAATGTGCTGGCCACATGGATCTAATTTTGAAAACTCATAAATTGTAATTGAAAATAATATTTATATTCAAAATAATTTTGTGCATTTTCATATAATATATATATGTATTACACACACACACACACACACAAACCTACCTTCTTTTCTTCTACAAGAAATTTAATTGGACATTCTTAATTAAAATAGCTTCATGGTCCACTGATTCTAATTGTGGACCCCAATATATTGCTGGGCCCCTCCATATTAGGGTGTCTGTAGAGGCATTATGATCATGACCATGTGTTTGACATCTATTATAGCATCTATGATAAAAGCAATTTCCCCATCTTGTGGCTTCCTTGAAGTCCAACGGATTTTTTTTTATTTATAATATACATATTTGTTGAGTTTTTTTTTTTGGTGGATTGATTAAAATGAAAAGAATAAAAACTGGAATGAAATTCAAGTTCATTTGTAAGTAATATACAGTTAATACATATTAATCATTTATAACAATTGTGTTACAGCTGAACTTTATTCCATTTTAAAGTATTTTTCTGTTTTTTTAAGTGTACATACTATTTGATAATGATTAATTTCATAGATTTATTTTATATGTTAATATGTTTAATTTCTGTGACGTCAGAAATCGAACTTCTAGACCCCCGAAAGGAAAATAAATAGTACTTTTTTCTGTTTTTTTAAGTGATTTAATACATACCGCAACCTCCCTAATAATAATAATAGTAATAATAGCGGTATGAAGCTTTTCAGCTAAAGGCATTGCAGATAATCTTGCGACACCTGGTTCTTCATCATTATCACTGCACANTTATTCCATTTTAAAGTATTTTTCTGTTTTTTTAAGTGTACATACTATTTGATAATGATTAATTTCATAGATTTATTTTATATGTTAATATGTTTTAATTTGATTAAAAAATCATATTTGAATTACACAAAATTTTTATAAAAATTTGAATTATCAGATAATCATCAAAATAATTTATGTATATTTTGAAAAATATATTATTAGAATGAGATACATCACTTTTTCTGAAACAATTTTATAACAACTTTTAAAATTAACATCATCTGTCCTTTTATGGAAAAATGGGCTACTTTATATAATAAAGACATTATGAATTCTATAAGTCATTCATTCAGTAGGATACTGAAATGTATTATGTTTAAGTATTAATAATAACAATTAAAGTTAGTTTTTGAAATTCTTCTAATTTTGAAAACACCAACACAATCCTCTGACTTAAAAATCATTAAATAATAATTTTTCATTTCATATTTATACTTTATTTAACAAAATGAATGTCATTTCATTTCAGTTTTATTATTATAATGATAACTAATAACATTACATATATTGACAATACAATAACATGTTGTATTGTTAATATATAAACAAAGGCAAGCATTTCACAATTTAAGCTAGGCTATTATTTTACATGTGCATAATGCATATGTAAAAATACTTAGAATATAATAAAAATTACAGAGACATTAAATCTTCACTGGTTACTGGTAAAAAAAAAAAATGTATTATAACAATGTATAGAAGCTTACTATTTCAGTTAAACTTTTAATTTTTGGTAAGCTCTCAAAGATCATTACTTATTTTAATGATTTTTATTTATACATATGATTTCAGAGATATTTTGAGAAATTAGTTATCCTGTTCTTTTATTACAGAAAAATGAAATAAAAAGGAACTATCTTATTATATGATATTAATGAAAAACTTGATTTATAATAATGTGAGAGCCGAGGGGTATGACTACGTCTTACCTCCTTGGATCGGCTTTCAAGTTGGAGGGACTTGCCCATTAGTCAGAGATGGTTTTAATTAATTAATGTTTGTTTCTTTCATTTATCCCAAGGAAACGGGACTAATTTTTTTAGTTTGGTCGAGTGTAGGAGGGAGGAGTGACATTGGTAAGGTAACAGGCAATATATGAGTAAAGGAGGACGTCAATTAACAAGAAAAACAATGATTTATTGGTTAACTACATCGACAAAATAATGATCTAGCATAGAAAAATTCCGAACGAATTTCCTGAGTCCCTAAAGCGCAAAGGGGGCCGAGAGAGAGTTCACGGAAGTTGGTTCCATACCTCTTTATGTATTTGGATCTCCAAGAGAGGGAAAGAATTCACCGAGACGTCGAGGATTGAATCAGGGCACAAAGTTATAGATAAATCCCAGGGTATGTGGCACTTCTTCTACTGTCGTTGAGCGACTCCCCGGAGGGGGGGACAGGTGGCTTTTATCGTTTTGTGGTGGGAAAACTGTCATGTGACTAATTAGTTGCAAGGTGAAAGGTGTGTGGGGAGGTCAGAGGTGTCCCTGGAACCTAAATAAAATGAAAAAATCAGATGGTAACTATAAACTTTAAGTCTTATAGTGTGGGAATAGATGTCGAGATGGGCGAATGTTTTCCTTGACAAAAGGGGAGGTTAAAAGCTCTTTTCAGTTTTTTTCAACACTAGCAATGTTGTTTCTTTGGGAATTTAATTTTTTTTTTTTTATAATAATAATAATAATTTTTGTAATAACGGGACATTGATCGGGGGAAAAATCAGTATAAAATCTGGATTTCACAATAGTGTACAAGTTTTATATTGAGAAATCAGAAATTAATAATGTGCAGTTAGTTGAGACAAATAAAATAACAGGAAGAACTATTAGAGAACCCCACTTATTTTATTGACATTATTAATGAATATCATGTAAAAATTACTGTGGTTTGAAGATGATTTATTTATCATCGTCTTCATCCTACTGACAATAAGATAGAGAATACTTACTTTTTGTAAATGATTTGAAGAACAGTTGATTTTAAATATATTAAGAAGTAATAAAAAAGTAAAAAATATATTTCCAAACACTAAATTTAAAATCTGCAAAAATGTTGTGTATAGCACATGGTTGTGTAAAGATTAATAATTTGAAACAAAAAATATTTTAATACATTTATATATATATTAGTATAAATTCTTACATTTTGTAATGTATCATGCAATAACAATTTGTTAAGAATCTTTTATATATATAGGAATTTTTTCCATTACTTAAATTGGACCATCTCCAATTATTTTTTTTGAAATTTACTCTGGAATTTAAGTTGCTGTAAATCTATTTGGAATTCTTTATTGCAATGTAGTGCTAAATTATTATATTTCAAAATCCTTGTAATTCTTGCATACATTTTTATAGTTCAATTTAATTTAATTATAGTTCTTAATTTAACTTATTATATTAATGCATTTTATTAAATTATTGGAATAATGATGATTTAATTTTGATAATTTTTATATGCTTTTTATCAGCTTTTTGTTATTAAAATATTTGTTCTCTTTGTTTTAATAATTTCTATAGTTTGTTTTCAATCTTTTCTAAATTATTTTCTTTAATGGCATTTTTAATTATGGAAAAATTATAATTGATTCTGAAATTTATGAAAATTACAAAAATTGTAATTATTTGCATTTTCTTTTTTAAAAGTTCTTTGTGGATTTGAGTCTTATTGAGTCAATATTTATTGAGATGTTTTTAAATTATTTATTAGTTAACATTAATTAATTTCCAATCATAAACTTTACTATAAGTTAGTGCAGTGTTTATCTTTAATGCGAAAGGCATTAATAATTTAATTAAGTTGTAATCTAAAAATAGCCTGTAAACACCAGCTGTCAGTTTAGTGAATTTTAAAATTTAAAAAGTAAAACGATTTTATTTTGGAATAAAATATTATTTGTTTTAAATATTCTGTAAAAGATCTTTGATTTTATCATTAATACATCAAAAATGATTATTTAAGATACAAAATACTATCTACTGAATGTTCACAATTAAAATTTTTTATTTTTAGTTACTTATTTCATTACATTGTTGAAGATGATATTATCTATCTCTGCATAACTGATGATGTAAGTATTTAAATATTTAAGTTTATTAATTCTTTTAATTTTAAGTTTTTTTATGTATGTAAAGTGATTTTATTATAAAAAATGAATGTAACTGTGTGACATTTTTTTGTATGGCTTAAAGAGAAAAGAAATATTAAAACCCATCCAAAACAAAAAGAAAATTCAATACTATGTGATTCTGGTTTACACAGGTTTTACTGTATTAGTAATATATGAAGATCATTAACATAGAGATGTAAGACAATATTACAGACATCCAAACTATTTTCTGAAATAAATTATGATAAGAATATTGAAATGAAATGGGCAGGATCAAAATTATTTTTGAAAAATTAAACACACACAAAATTGATAAAACACAATTTTTTAAGTTAAATAAGAAGAAAGAATAATTAATGAGAAGAAAAAGTTGTAGTGAAAGACCTTACTTTTAATTACAGTAGAGTGTCGATTATCCGAAAATCAATCATCTGAAACGTCAATCATCCGAAAGAATTCCAGTCAGCAAATTTAAATTTTTGCCAGTGCTGTGGTGCTGCAATCTTTGGCTATGTCTTGGGCTACTCAAATATTTTACGTTTTTGATACTAAATTAACTTCTGAAGTATAATTTTTTATTGTTTTTATATTTTTCAATATATTTATTTTGTTTGTACAAAATAAAAAAATAATTTTTAACGATACAATAGTCTTTGTTAGGCTTAACATCGACGAAAATTCAACGCGAAGCGACACGCAACAGAGAAAAATGTCAAGATGGGATAAATTAGTATATTTTTTCGTACATAATCGGTTATCTGAACATCAATCTTCCGAACAACCCCAGTCCCCAATTGATTCGGATAATCGATGCTCTACTGTATATATCAAAATTGTATTTATTTTGATTTGAGTTAAAATGTTTTTGCACTACATTTCTATTTTCTTTTAAATTCAGATAGAAATTTAGGTAACATTAAGACTGGCATATTTGTTAATTAATTTAAAGAACATTCTCTTCTGAATGAATTTGTTTCTTTCAAAGTTGAGTTGAAATAGTAATTATGGAAGACAATTTCTTTCACTCCTTAATTTGTCATTTTCTGTTAATTTTATTAGTTTTATTAATTTCATCATTTATCCAATTATCAGTTCACTTAAGCAGATGATAGACAGAAAACTTTTGTATGTCTGAAATAATCAATAAACCAGAAATACAAATAAATCAAATGAATTATTTATGCTTCTCTACTCCCAAAATAAAACAATGAAAACTGATAGCATTGTCAAATACAAATAAAGTTTATTTGTGATTTTATATTTCTTACAAGGATAGTTTTTGATGTAATAGGATGTATGTTAGAATGATAGTATAATTTCATAAGTGTTTGCATTTATGCTAGAATACTAAAAAATTATATAATTTATAGAATCATACTGAGTTTCCTTAGTAGTAACAAAACTAATTAGCCCCTTATTAGTATAAATAAAACATCTAATTTACTTCAAAAGATCAACTACTTGTTGTCAGCACATTATTATTTAAACAACTGTTTCCAATCAAAGCATAAGTTATCTGCTGAAAAATCATGCTACAAAGTTATGTAATAATGCTGCAAATTTTATTTTTTTGGAAACGCCAAAAAAAATAAAATCAAAACATTTTATAAAAAAAGACAGATGAAAACAAAATTAGAAAGGAAATTAAGAAAACAAGGATATTGGCAGATGCTACTAAGGAAGCAGAAATATATCAACAGATTTGACGGTGAGAATAACTACTCAGTGTCATACGATATTGTAGATGACTAAAATATAAGAAAGTAAAATTATTATATTCAGAGAAATAAAACACCTGGGCTGCTACTTTTTTTTTCTACATTACTTAAACTGCAGCACATGATCATTCAATTGTTTAATTAGTTACATTAAAGTCTTGTGATATATAAGAAAAAAAGAACTTTTTTGCTTGAAAACTTAGGGAAATTTGATATCCAGTTTCACTTGCCATTATGAAAAGTTTCTTTCCATTTACTGTATATATAATCCATGTGTTCAGACCAGTAAAAATATTTTATTTTATCATTTCTTTAATTTAAAACTGCTGAGAGGTGGCGCTTTCTTTCTTTCACACACTTTACAAATGGTTATAGCATTCGTCAGGAGAACTTCTTTTATCTTTGTTTATGCCTGATATGATTTTGTTTCACACCATAATTCAAGGCTGAATCTTGAATGTATGTGTTGTTTTATTACATACTTTTGTAAATTGTTAAATAAATTCACCAGCTATTTGCTGGAGATATTTGTTGTGCTAATTTACAGTCCATTTCTTAAGTAAATACACAACACCCTGTATGGAATAAATTTTTATTTTACTTTAGAAGATAACTTTTACTAACAGATATAGTCTCTTCTAATATATAACATAATGAATAAATTTTTTCCACACTTGAGAAAGTAAAGAAAATTTGTCTTTTTTCTATGTTATTATTTTATCAAATTTCATATATTTTATGATCTTCCATATTTATTCTGGTCGGTTGTATCTTTGAAAAAAATAACTTCAAAGAGTAGACAATTTACTTTTAATTTTTTTGTGTGTTTACTATGATACATACAAGACACATTACTTTAAAATGTTGTTAAGCTTTTCTTGAAAATTTTTAAATATAACTCTACTGCATTGAGAATGTTCATCAACAAAATTATTAGAAAAATCCAGAGATACAAAAAATGAGCTGATAGCAAAGTATTTATGACAAAATTATTTTTATGTGACATCTTATGTGATACACTTGTGCAAAAACTGTTCCATTTTCTGGTTATGTAATACTTGTATCTTCTTTATTATGATTGATGATGTGAAAGTTGGACCTGATGAAATTTTTGAGAGAAAATTTTTTGGCCTTTGAATGTTAAATTAGTTCAAATCCCAGCGAAAACAAAATTTTCAATTTAATTATTGGAGAATGATTGCATCTCTCTCCCTGGAGTCACTTCCTTTCCCAGGGGACTCATTGAATGTGTCACCAGGAACTAACTACAAATATTCACCATTGGTCAAAAATATTAACATGGCTTAAGAGGGCATCGAAATGGATTAAAGGATTGCGTCGAGAAAATCGTTGAGAGTCTAAGAGTTCACCAACCTTCTCCTTTCTGTGTGAGTGTTCCATTGCTGATCCTTTTCGATTGCCCTTCGTTGCAGACATCCTAGAAACAAACCTTTTGATTGTGAACTCTATCCTCAAGCTGCCTAACTCTATCCCACCAGGAAACCTCTTCACCCTGTCATCAGGATGTTTGTGATTTCAAGACTTTGATCAAGCCAATTTGACCAGTCAAGGTATTTAACCTCATGCAAAAGAATGTAAGCTCTCTCTCTCGGCTAACTTAGTAGTAAAGTAACAAGAAATGTTATGCTACCGAAGCTTTATTCATTTTATGATGATAGAACGTTATGTTATGTATACGGGTAAATAATTTGATTATATACAAAAATAAATGGATATCTTTAATTAAGTTGTAGTGTGCACTTCTTTCGGCTGCATTCTCTCAGGATGTTCAACTCCTAAATCTGACCGCTCATGCATGAATGAACAAATCACCATCACCAATCCAGGCATAGGCATCACTGGTCTGGTGCTGACCCTTTAGTCACAATATTATTACTTGTATCAGAAACTAGGTGTTTTCTGTCAGATTGGAAGTTTTCATCTAATGACTCCAAAATCTATGAAAAATTAAAACTTTCTGATGTATATAGTTTGTTTAAAGAATGGGAATTATACTAATCCAAACTCTAACTGTAATTAATCAAACTATTATTATGCTATAATTAATAATTAGAAACTAAGTAATTTGGTACTAGAGGTAGATGTTAGGTGCTATCTCTTATCTAAATTAATATTCGTAATAATTTATTAAATAATTTATATTATATAAAAATAATTATTAATTCGGATAAGTAATGATGCTTGATATCTATCTCTAGTACCAAATTACCAAATTATTATGCTATAATTATTAATTATAGCATAATAATAGCAGATTAATTATGGCAAGTTTGGATTAGTATCAATCAGTGTTGCCACCTTTTCAAAATTCCTAACACTAAAATTTGGATGTTATAAATAAAAAATCTTAGAAATAAAAAAAATAGGTTTTTTTATTGTGAGTAGAATTCATTTTGTGTCAGCCAATCTTTATTAAATTTACTAGTTCGCTTCCTCTTTTTTGGATTTTCAATTTCTTGAGTTGTCATATTAAATAATTAAAATAGAAATTATAAATTGTAACTGTCATATTTGCTTTACAATAGGTTTGTTCCAACACAAGTACCTCACTGGTTTGAATTTGAAACCATACAATGCATGCACAATGCAATTTTACAGCTAGGAAATGAACAATGCACATGCCAGTTTTAAACCAGTTAGGGACTTGTGTTGGAACAAACCTAATATTTGCCAGAGATATTTGTAAGTTAGAATTTTAAAAGTACATTTGTCACTCTCAGCCTGGGATAAGATGCAAATAAGTTTGGGTGGGAATGTGAAGTTAGTCTTTAACTGTTAAAATAAAATACTTGCAAATATTTTTATAAATTTATTTTGTTTTATTATAATTTCACAATTTATATGAAAACTGGCCAAATTAATAATTAATCTGTACCATGAATTTAAAAACTGGCTTGTCTAGGTGTAAATCGGTCTGGTGGCAACACTAGTATTGGGTTTCAGGATGTTGCTATATATGGGAAATATACTTCAGAATGTCTTGAATTTTTCTCAGAATTTAATTTTTTTATAATCGCTCTATCTCAAAAAGAATTGTTTTTTTTTTATCTACAAAGAGAACTTTGGTTTTCACTATTATCCAAAACATTTGTCAATGCTGGTCAGATAGATCAGTTTGATATTTATATATATGTTTCACTGTGTAAAAAAATAAAAACAGAAAAAAGTGTATACAGTAGAGTGTCGTTTATCCGAATCAATTGGGGACTGGGGTTGTTCGAATAACCGATTATGTACAAAAAAATACTGTATATTAACCTATCCCGTCCTGAAACTTTTCTCCATTGCATGCCGCTTTGCGTTGAATTTTCGTCAATGTTAAGCCTAACGTAAACTTTTTAAAATAATAATCGTGGCTATTGTATCGTTAAAAATTATTTCTTTATTTTGTACAAACAAAATAAATATATTGAAAAATATAAAAACAACAAAAAATTATACTTCAGAAGTTAATTTAGTATCAAAAACGTAAAATATTTGAGTAGCCCAAGACATAGCCAAAGATTGCAGCGCCACAGCACTAGTGAAAAATTAAATTTGCCAACTAGAATTCTTTCGGTTAACCGACTTTCGGATAAACGACTCTCTACTGTACTTTTAATTTTAAAATAAAAGTACGAAGGCTATTTTTTAAATAAGATCCATTTTTTAATAAGAAGAAAAGTACTGTAAATATCATTAAAATATCTTTTTTCCCATATTCTACATACTTTTATCTACTTTTCTGCATAATTTCCATTTTTGTTCAAACATTTTTTGAATTCCGACTTCAAAGAAATCTGCCACCTGTGAAAATGCCAAATCCATGACTGCAGTTTTCACTTCATCATTGTTGAACTGTTGACCATCAAAAAACTCCTTTAAGTATCGAAACAAATGAAAATCACTGGGTGCAAGGTCTGGACTGTAAGGTGGATGATCCAGTTGTTCCCATCCAAAAGAACTGATTAGACCTTATGTTTGTGCAGAAACATGTGACATGTGACTTCCTGTATGATGTTGCTCCATGATAATGCTTGCATTATCATGGAGAAACATCACACAGGAAGACAGTAGACCATGCTACTTGTTTTGTATGGCACGCCGGAATTTTCTCAAGGTCACACAATATGCATCAGAATTGAATGTTGTGCCTCTCGACATAAAATCCACTAACAAAATCTCTTTCCTGTCCCAAAAGACAGTTGCCATAATTTTCTGTCTGAAATGGACTGTTTGGCTTTCACTTTGGTTGGTGAAAATGTATGTTCCCCTTCCATTGACTGTTGCTTGGACTCGGGAGTCATGTGAGACACCCAAGTCTCATCTCCTGTAACGATGTGGTCCAACAATTCATCTCCTTCCTGATTGTATGGAGTCAAAAACGATAAAGCACTGCTCGATCTTCTTGTTTCGTGATCGCCAGAAAGCAGTCTTGGAACCCACCGAGAACACAATTTTTGATAATTCAGTTTCTCCGAAACAATAGTATACAAAACTGATCTTGAAACATGTGGAAATTCAATTGGTAACATTGAAATTGTGAATTGTCCTCTCAAATTTTGTTATCCACATCACAAACCAAATCTTCAGAAATCAGAGAAGGTCGGCCAGGGCATGGCTCATCATGCACATTAACCTGCCCATCCTTGAACATTCTCACCCACTTTTGAATTTTACTGTCATTCATAGCGTTATCACGGTAAACTTCACAAATCTGATGGTGAATTTCCACTGCTGCCAAGTTTCTTGTACTCAAGAATTGAATAACAAATCGTATCTCAGTCAGCAGGTGACTCAATTTTCTTAAACATTATAAACTTTTACAGTTCAGCACACAGACAGATGATACGGCTGCAAATGGTGTCTAAACATGCACAAACCATGCTCGGAGCAGACACACCTATGCACTGCCGCAATCGCGTGTCATTCTCACTCTCATTCACAAACGGACCTTATTTAAAAAATAGCCCTTGTATAAAGTAAAAATGTATCACATTTGTAAAACAGTGTATAAAAATCACAGAAAATAGAAAACTAAAACTGATGAAAATGACTGATTGCTGGTACTAGTGTTAAAATTTTATTTATTTAAGTAATTTGTAGAAAACTTTAAGGATCCTATTTTTAGTTTTATATATTTATATTATTTTTATAACTATAATCATATTATGTATTACATTCATAGTAAAATCTGATTATTGTAATCACTTTGGGACTCACCTAAGCTGGTTATGATAACCAACCAAAAATATTATGGGGATAAGTAAATAAGACTACAATTATGGAAACTGTTTTTATTGATTCTAACATTAAAAATGATATATCAAGAAATATGTAAATTGAAGATTTAATAATTAGAATAGTTGAATTATTAGTCAACCCCCATAACACTGTTGATGATCCCATTTTATATGAATTCCATGTTGTACAAGTCACTTAGATTTTACAAATACGTGAGCATACAACATGGAATTCATATAAAACGGAATAATCAACAGTGTTACAGGGGGTGACTGTATTTATTAATTAACATCTAGTGTGTTTGCTTTATTTTTTTGCAGTATCATCATTAATAGTGTATGAGTAAAGTAAGAAATTCCAGCACTGTACTGAGAGCAGATAACACTTAAAGTAATTAACATTTAATGCTCAAAACACTAAGACTGAAATATGCAGTCCTCATCAGTTATTGTTAGTGCTATCATTGCTAACAATATTCTTGAGGCACTAAAAGATACCTTTTAAATAATTTTTAAGATTCCTTTTAATTATTTATCTGAAGATAATTGTAACTGTAATCAAAGCTCTAATTACAATAAATTTTTATAAGTGTTCTAGTATTTTTGAAACTGTGCCAGTAATTTTTAGTAATTCGAACCCAAATCAATTATTGTATTTATTCAGACACTTGGCAAATCTAATCATTAAATTTTATTCAGTTGATACGTGTTCATTGTATTTTTACACATTTCGGGCATTCCTTGCCCTCTTCAGCCAACTAAAATAAAAGTTCACAAGTTACAACAATTTTATAAACAAACAAATAAGGTCATGTTTTCCAAAACATACCTTTTTGATTACAGATTACTGAAAGTTAAAATCATAAAATTTCTTTGCACATTTAACTTGTTATCCATCAAATTACAAATTTTTGTAAGGTTTGTACCTTTAAAACATTTTACACACATGACTTCTTACCTAAAAAATGTTAAAAAAATTTTTTTTATATATATTTAACTTTATATTATCTAAAGATTTTACATCAATTATCTTGCATACAACTATTTTGATAACAATACCACAAATTACGTACCTAGTTGTTCATCAGCGGAATATGTTTGTCTTCGATTTAGATCAGTGTTTCTCAACCTGTAATGAATCGTTGCCCCCTTCAATAAAACCATTACGTAGTATCGCCCCTTCGCTTCAAAATTCCAATGCCGAGGGCCAAGGCTAACGCCAAATTCGTACTGCATTGAATAGACTAGTGACTAATATAATGTTATTTGTTTAATTATTATACGATATAATGAATAAAATATCTAATTATTCTTAATATAATGTTTTACTCTATCGCCCAGAAAATTGTTTTTCGCTCCCAAAATATAAATTATTACAAATCGCCCTCTCAACATGGAAAAAATGCCTACATGGGGGTGATATTGACCCCGTTGAGAAAAACTGATTTAGATGAAAGATGAGTATGTAAATTTTGGTATTGTTGTTAAATCGCTTTAAACGTGATAAATTTATAAGGGAAAATTTTAAAATTGTTTAAATTTTATAACAATTCAAAATGAACAACTAGGTACGTAATTTGTAGTATTGTTATCAAAATAGTTGTATGCAAGATAATTAATGTAAAATCTTTAGATAATATAAAGTTAAATATAAAAAAAAATTTTAACTTTCAGTAATCTGTAATCAAAAAGGTATGTTTTGGAAAACATGACCTTATTTGTTTGTTTATAAAATTGTTGTAACTTGTGAACTTTTATTTTAGTTGGCTGAAGAGGGCAAGGAATGCCCGAAATGTGTAAAAATACAATGAACACGTATCAACTGAATAAAATTTAATGATTAGATTTGCCAAGTGTCTGAATAAATATAATAATTGATTTGTGTTCGAATTACTTTTTATAAGTGTTTTTCAATGTACTTTTTCAATGTGTTTTTGAATGTACTGATTCTGATAACAATAAATGACAGATAATAATAATAATGTTTACAATAAGCAGATTCTGCTGTATCTATTTTGCTTATGTACAAGTTAGATGTTTATTATTTCATTTTTTATGAAAATAAAATTTTTAAATCAACTTTTAATACTAATTTTTTTCATTAGGAATTTGAAAGAGGAAGAGCATTTTTATTTTTGAATGAAATTAAGAAAAGGTTTGTCTAAGAAATTTTATGTATAACAAATTAGGCTAGGCATTTTATGAAATTTCTAGAATTAAAATACATATTTAAATATAGTTTATTATTCATTTTTAAATTTTATTTGATCCTACAAATCAATGTCCTAAACAAAAAGAACTTTTATTTTAATTGAAGTTGGTAATATAAAAGATGATCAGTTATGCACTTAGTACCTTCGGTTTCATTTTGAAATGGACAGTATATTATTGTTTTATTCATTTTTGGTGTCTTAATAATTATAATAAATTCTGCAAACTCCATTGCTTAAAATAACTTAAAATAAAAATCTAAACATACACTGTATGTCTAAAAACTTTCCAGACTGATTCTTTTCTTGGAGAGACAATTTGCACCATCTATTAGCTGATGTTGAAATAATTTGTATGAAGTCTTGTGTGCAACATATGTATGTTTTGTCTGTACCAGATTAATAGTTGACAAAAAAGAATGTATTTTTTTCTGCATGTTTTTGCATGTAGTTCCAGTTTTGCAACAGAACAAGTGTTTATCAAATTTTGTTATAAGCTTGGCAAAAGCATGACAGAAAACCTATGAAATGATGAAAGTGGCATGCAGGGAAAATGCACCATCACTTGACTGGTATAAGCATTTTAAGGATGGCCAACACTCAATAGAAGGCAGCAAAAAAGTAGTAACAGTTAACAGTTTGAATGAATGAAGCCATGCAGACTTTGTACTATGTCCTCACAAAGGACCCCTTATCTAATACTTTGTATAATAGTTGAGCGTTTAAATATTGTTAAGAATACCATTTCTATTATTAGTCACAAAGACTTGAAGTACAAAAAGATTTACATCCTCTTCCTTCTACATTGTTTTTAATCTCTGAACAGAAAGAAATGCATGTCAATTGTCATAATTTTGTTGAAGCCACTAATAGGGACCCAGTGTCCCAGCAGACATTTTTATATTTCTGAAGATAAAATTGTGCCTAAAAGGAGGGTTAATGCAATGTATCGGTGAATGTAGATGATTCAAAAAACAGTAGTATAAAAGCTTCCAATTATGTACTGCCATTCTGATGTCTATATCAAGAGGAAGGAGACTATATAGAAGCCTCATGAATAAAAGTTGATATATGAATTTGTTGATTTTTTAGAACTTTATCTGAGAACTTTTCAGACATACTAGTATATGCCAATACTTGAAATGTATATATTCATAACTTTCATGCAACTTTGATTTCTGACAGTGTGCGTAAGGGATTGAAAGAGGAAAACAACTATAAACTAGTTTTGTATATTTAAGATACAAATATTAGTATGATTGCTAATATATATTCATATATTCATTTTATTTTTGTATTCTTCAGTCTCTTAATATCCATGAAAAAATTTACATTAACTGTTATCTGTTATATAAGATGAAACTTACTAATTCTGTTGTATGCACAATCTCATTTATGTTGATGGTTATAATTCATTAAGTAGATATATAGTTTGTCTTTAATAAGTTTAGCATAAAATTAATACAATAATAAAATTGTCTTTGTGAGACAACAAAAACTTTTAAATGTAATAATTAATTTATTACACTTTATAAACAATTTATTACATTCCACAAAAACACACTTTAAAATTTAAAAATGAAAATATCAAAAATTTTATTTTTACTTGGTTAACTTTCTAAATTGCCTATTTTAAATTTTATTATTATAATATGATTATTAAATAATTAAAAATGATTTAAATCCAACATACTAAATACAGCTTGATTGATGGATCAATGTCATTCAGTTGATTTTATTTACTAAGGTTGAAGTGTGAGTACACAAGACGTTCCTTCCGTTAGTAACGTGTTTTCCTTATTGGATCGTTGAGGTCCATTCACATTGTCTAAGGATGGCTTCTTTGAGCTTATGCAGATCAAGATTCAGAAAAATCAAGACCCTGTCAGGACTGACACCAGTTGAACTATTTTAGTCATGGTTTAACTCATGTATATAAAAGATGATTACTAGGAGGGCTATTTCTACTAGTGGAGCATTGCATGCATGACAAATAGAGCTCAATAAATGGCAGAAGTCGAATAAACAATATAACAAATATGATTTAATGAATAAACAAAATATACTATATACATATCTCTAAAATGACATAAGACAACATTGGAAGTACAATGCAGTACAATGGAATTCAATGAGCTTATATCTAACTATACCTATATTTCTATGCCTTGCGTGAATGCTATACCTGAGAGAGAGAGAGTGCTTACAATAAACAATATATATACTATCTTGGCTTATGTAGTATTTGTAGTCTTCTATGAGGAGAACGGGAGATGGAGAAGTGGAACGGGAGAATCAATCTTCTATGTGCACAGTATAAATTATTTCTATCTTCTGTATGGCACCTTCAATATTATGGGAGGCTGCCCTGATTTACATGTTGCAATCTTCTTACAGAGGTCTGCCTTCTATGGCAGGTAGGAACTTTCCGTGAACTGCCATAAGTCATATAGCATGTTCTATCTTCGACGAACTGCCTTGAGTGGCGGGAAAATTCCCTTTTTATTGGGACCTCTGCTCAGTAGCATCTGAGGAATACATGGGATATGTAATGAGTGCAGAGATGGTAAACTGACATATGGCTATATGAAATAGCAATAAGCTGTGTGGGAAAGGAAGTTGATTTCCTTTTTTTCTCTGAATATGATGAAAGTCATATCCTTTCCGGTAAAATCATTTAAAGAAATAAAATATTTATTCTCATTATTGTAAATCAATTAATCTAACTCACGAATCTCACAAAACTATTAAAAGTATGGCTTGGTATTCATTTGATATCACTGCTAAGAATTTTATATAGGTACAGATAATGAAATTTTTTTGACATTAGCAACAGATCTGGGGTTGTTATGACTTGCTGATTCTCTATATGAACTAAGCTTAAAATTAAGACACTAAAATGACTTTTTATTTAATTTTTTTAAATTAATAAAAAAAAATATCAAAATAATATTATTTGATAAACAAAACAAAACTGCGTAAAAATTTTTTATCTTTTTGACAACCAACTCATTCAAAAAATTTACTTCCTTATTTAGTAAAGACCTGATGAATTTAATGGTTAAGCCATTAAAGAGCGATCAGGATACAGAAAATCTGTTTCATTTTCTGATTACAGTGTAATATTTTCTAATATTACATAAAATTTATTTTATAATTGGAAGGTTATTAAATAATAATTTAAATCATATATGAATGTCACTTTAATACAAAATGAATTTCTACACTATCATTTAAAAATTGAAGCAAATAAATCAAAATTTTAATGACATCATCAGTAAAATAGCTGAAAGTAATTCTGTTGTGTGTAAACAAAATAGAACATTGCAAATTCAATCTAGGGCTATCATTATAGATGCATATTATTATTTTAAGTGATAAAAATTAAATTTATATTAGTGAAAAGAACAGTGAGTTTATAGCTTATTAGAATGACAATTATCACAAAATGTGTTTTAATCATCAGGAATTTGAAATGCAATAATTATATAGATAAGCAAGTAAATACAGAAATTTATCAACTTAGATACAAATTCAATTAGGAGTGGCTAACAATATGAAATATAGAATGGATTTAATATACAAAAAGTGAATAGGAAATAACCAAAGGCAAGGTAAGTTATGTGTTTGATGGTTTTAGGAAAATTATGAATATGTGATACACAAAGAATTTTCATGTTTGTAAAGATGTTCTTATTGATTTTAGACCAAGGAAATGCTATTTGATGAGTTTGTAATTGCAATTTAATTAATATTGCCGTGGTATAACTTGTCTTATTGTCTAACACATATCCTGCTTTCAAATTGCCTTTTAAACACAAATAATTCATAGATTATTGCAAAAAATTATACTGGATGGTATATAATTACAGATTGCAGCTGTTACTTAATACATTTCATGTTTAATATATTTTGACAATGTAATATTCCATTATCTAAACATTATAAATACCAATACATTAGATTGTTATTACAATACAGTTTGGCAATCTCTTAATGCTAGGATTATTTACCATGTAGGTAACTAATATGTAGATTTCTTTGGATCTCTATCATAATGTAAATTTTTATTGTGCTAGATTATTAATTTTGCACAAGCAATAGCAGGTTGCTATTGCTTGTGCAAATTTGGCTGGCTGCTCTAGAGTAGACATAGTGTGTTCTGCTTGCTCCTTCCTGTTTGACTGGTCATAGTAGAGCAGTTGTTTGAATCACTTACCTACTGAAATTACTAGAGTTCAAAACATCTATGGGAGATTAGAAAGACTTCAAATCTCAAAAATACATCCATTAAGAAACCTTAATTAATTTCCAGTAATATTTAATGTGAAAAATTTAGACTAACAATTTTGATATACAAATAGAGATCTGGTTAGAATATTCCAAGATGGATCATCATTGTAAACTATTTGAAAATTAAACAAAATGAGCAATTATTTATTGTGATATCGTCACAATGCCAGGCTGCAACTTTCAATAATATTTTTAATTTATTTAATTAAAATATATGCTCTCCCCTCAAATTAGTACTGTAGTGTCTTCCCCTGTACATCATACTTTTTTGTTAGCAATGAAATCATTGGTCATCTAATCATTCAGTCAATTATTTCAATTCAAAACTTTCCATTATAACGTGACTTCCAGTTTGCATCACAAGTTCAAATATAGTTGAGATAAGCAGGGGGCCACTGGGTCGATCCCTAATGACCACTTACTCTGCACGGGCTAGTAAAGCCTGACCTCTGTGTCATCAGATGGCTTTTAGTGAGTGGCGAGGGGGTGAGCAAGTCGGCAGGTGTCCTTGGATAGACAGGAGACAGGTTTAACAATTAAACAAAGCATTTATTGAATAACTAAGGCTAAATTTACAGGAGGATATATATGTTAAACATTAAATGCGGTTAAAATAACGATTACAAGGTAGACTTTACAATGGGGCTAAACGGCTACTATGCCTATTTCCATTGAGAGAAAGAGTTCACAGATGGTTAACAAAAATACCTCTATGAGGAAACTAATAGTATGCATCAATAATTTCGTAGGAATCGTAGTCCTTGTCGATAAGGCAAACTGTATGGAAGTTCAAAGCCGTGATTTGTCTTCAACCGGTGTCTTGTCCTCTTGTTGGATCGGGTCCGTTGTATGGAGGTCTGGGAGACGGATTGCGCACAGTTACCAAGTATAACTTCCAGTTCGATCACCCTGAACTTCCAGGACCTCGAGCTTTTATTCACTTGTGATGGGAAAGAGGTCACATGATCGCCCATGTTGACGATGATAGTGCATTTTCTGATACCTATGTGTCAACTTTCCCATCTGATTGCTGACAATTGGGTTGTCATCCAATCCGAAACTATTTGATAGTTTTTCTATCGGTAGATGTTTACATAGAATTTTTTTAGTAAAATAGGTTAAAACAACTCCCAAAACTCATGGATCTCACATAGTTAATCAGGTCCCCCTGTCCATAAAGTTTCCATATCTGTCTTGATTTCTTTTATCTAACGCCATTGTCAAGATTAAGGAAAGACAGACAAATGGATGACAGTGGGAATTTATAAGTCTACAATTTTTTCAAATTGCAGCCCAATAACATTCAAACACATAAAATAAGTAAATGTGAGGTACAGATGTGATTAAAAGTGAAGAAAGAAAAAATAAATAAATAATTTAGATATTATAATGGAATGTTCTCATGTATTTTTATTTTTTAGTTTTTAATCACAAATGTATGGTAACTTGCATTTACGTATTTTATGTACAGTACAGTGGTGCCTCATATAACATACGTCTCGAATAACGAACTTTCTGTTTGGCTGTTACATGACTCGAGCAATGGACTGGCTATGAACAACGGACTTTCCTTTCGGCAGTTACGTGAGGCGAACAACGGACTTTCTGTGAACAAGTGCGAATGATGTTTCCACTCTTTTGCCGTTGCCAATGACACTCCGCTATTTTTATAATACATTAGTATTATTAGAATATATTATTAGTATATCTGAAGTACAGAGCTCCCATTGGGGTTCGGCTTGCTCCCTTGTTTATTATGTACATCACCTCAGTGCAGAGTATTTACATTTATTCAAGTGTTGTGCAAATCATGGCTTCTAAAAAAACAGAAAGGTGATTTCAATTGAAACAAAGCAAGAAATCATCAGAAGGAGTGAAAGTTGACAAAAACTTCCTTGTCAAATGGGGAGAGGTTCAGGAGTTTACCAACACTCATTATCCAAACAGAGCTGAGGCCAACGGGATCAATAATCTCTACAAAGACACCTTGCCTGTCATTTCCGACAGGTGTTGAAAAACAGAGAGAGAAACAGACCACCTTGGACATGTTTTTCAAGAAGCAAGCCGCCAAAACAAAAGGATGAAACAAGAGGAGTTGACCCTGCAAGCTCCAGTAACCTCTCCTGAATCTGACTCCAATTAAAAAACGATAAAAAGAGACCCCGCTGCAATGTGTAAAAAGTCTGTATCTGTATGAGTGTGTAAATAAAGTGTTCCTCCACCTCCTCCTCACAGCATCTGACTACCCGGCATAATTGGTGACTGCTCCATTTTCATTTTTTTAATGGTACAGTACGGTTATTTTATGCTGCGGGATGAATTATATGTTTTAACATGTATTTCTATGGGAAAATGCATTTCGTATAATGCACTTTTCACTTAATGGACTATAACATACTTAATCCGTTCCCGGACGTGCATTGGGAATGGATTAAGTACGTTATACGAGGCACCACTGTATTTAAATATTATATCATTTAATTTTCAAAGGCTCTTTAATGGATGTATTTTTGAGGTCTACTCTCTTTTGGAGTGATGACATCATTAATCTAATCCTGCTACTTAATAGAGCAGCCAGCCAAATTCACTATTACCTCCAATATAAATAAAATTATGAGAATGAAGAGACCAGACTTTTGATGAAGTTTTTAGATAGATATATAACTCCTTTATTTTTTATAAATCATCAGTTTTATGTGGCTTTTCCTAAAGTGTGAAATTATATTTATTGAAATTTTTCATGGCAAAAGAAAAAGTTTTAGTATTTAAAATACTTTTACAATAGAGATGTTTATTTAATCACACACAAGTTTTGTAGGTTTCAGGAAGTTTTCTATAATAGTTTCACTATTTTTGTGAAAATTAATTTTTTTTTTATAAATAATATTTATAAAAATAAGAAAGTTTCTAATTTAATATTTCTTCTGGTATAAATTTTTAATGAATATTTATAAAATTATTGTTTTCAGATTCCAAAGTACTTATGGTGCAAGAGCTCAGACAGCTCTTCCTTATGCAATGAATGGAGATTTTTCTCGTGTTTTAGCAACTCAAATGGTAAGTTTGTTTAAACATTTTAAATTTCACTTTGTTAGAAGAATTTTATGTGAATTGAAAAGTTACTCAGTTCACTTAAATTCTGTTCTACTTTAATATATTTTAATTCTTAATTTAGCATATATATTATGAAAAATAACTTTTCATTCTTCATAAAATGTTAAAAGAATGAATGTTTCTGTAGAGAAATGTTCTTTCTTTTGGCATTATAATTTTATAAACTAAAATTAAAATTAAAAAAACTGTATACAGATTATATATAATTTTTATTGTATTATGTAAATCAGTGATTCTCAACCTTAGTGGCATGCACTAACAAGCTAATATTGCACAATAATGATGCTATTTACAGCATCATTATCATGCAATATAGCTAGCTTGATGATGCTGTTATAAATATAAACAAAAAGTGAAATTGAAGATCTGCATTTATATTAAAAATACTTTTATATGTAATATATAATTATATGTTACATTTATATATATTAATTATATACAGTATATAAATATGTACTGCACACAAACAAATAATGAAAAGTAGATAAACTTTTAACATTTTAAAATTATTTTTGAAATTTTGTGGCACATTGTTTGAGAACCATTGATTTAAGTATAAAAAACAATAGCTTACTTATTTCAGTATCTATAGAGAATTAATATTAGTCAATAAATTATTTATTTGTTTCAACAGAAACATTTCTCTGATAATAAAGATTATGATACAGTTGCTCGAGTACAAGGAGAACTAGATGAACTTAAAGATATAATGGTTAAAAATATTGGTGAGTAATTTTTCATTTGTGAAAAAATTACATATGCTATTTTATTAAACATAATAGTTTTATTTATCTAAATTATAATTGGAATGGTTACTTTTCCTCATATGATATTTGTGTTGGAGCAAGTAAACATCTAAAAAGGATGGAATTTATAAAGCTTCCTTTAACGAACTGGCCATCATTTAAAACCTTCTCTTATGCATGGAGATTCTATATGAAACCTTTTTTGATCTTATTTACAAACTGTTGCCCAGCTTGATCATGTCAGTTATTATGTATGTATTCTACCTAGTGAAATTCACATGCTTGTTTTTAAAAAAGGTTTAAGTTCTATTTTCCATATTTATTCTTTGACCTGAACATGACGATTTAAAATTGTTGAAAACATTTGTTTATATAGTTAAACTTTATTTTTTGGTGTTTATGAAGATTTTTGCAAAATAAAACTGACATGCTGAACCATTACATTGTTTTAACACAACAATCATAAAAGATTACCAATCTCTAGGCTAGATACTGGTGTTGCAACGAATAGTATATTCGGCCAGGAGCGTGGCAGAATATTCGTCTATTCTGCCAAACTATTTGGCTTGATTAATGCACATACGAAAATTGGCGCGCAAACTGCATTATGGCAAGGACCCTTCTCTCCATTGGCCTGCTGTCACTGCGCTTTGCCAATTGCATTAATTATTGACAGTTGTAGCGGACAGACCAGAGTGTCATGGCAGTAAGTGATAAATGATATCAAATGTGAATAACAATGAAATGACCTACATGTGTAAATAACGGAAAAAGAACAGAGAAAGACGTGAAGTGAAAATGTGAAAATAAATGTGAAATTGAGTTGATAACATAATCGAACAAGTCGAGGCAACTTATTGGCGCGAAATTCGTGGCCGTCAATGCCAAACAATTGTTGTCATAGACTTCGGAAAGCTAAATGCTTGTAATGAAAGTCATTTAGTGTGCACGGGCGAAAGCCTGGGACCATTCAGGCTATCAAGCTGTCTGGAATCTGTGAAATCATAACTGTGACATATACCGATGTATCTGTCTCTTTTCTCCGTTATCACCAGGCTATGAGTCACGTAATTATAAAATGGAAAAACTACAACGGAAAAGTGAAGAATCAAAAGTATCGTGAGTGCGTATTATGATGTATGCATAGGCATACGTGGACTAGAGAGATAGAGGAAAGAGAAAGGAAAGACGAGCGCTTAAAAAGGATAGGCAGGGTCAGACCCNATACTTTAAACCAATATTTCATGTATTTTTTTTCTTATCCTTTTTCACTTGCAAGTTGTACAACGTTACAAATAGTTTATAGCCATCTTCCAAAGAATTTTTTGATCAAATAACTAAGTATGATGATATAGCAATTCCTTCGCGATAGGATATAAACGAATATTATGTTCTTAGAATAGAATATATAAACACAGACTAAGTATCAACGGCAGATATATTTCTTAGCTATAAAAAAACACATGCTGCTATTTATTTAAACATGAAATTATATATTTATTATTAAGAAAAAGACCAAAAAATACTTAAATTTTCTCTTTAATAATAATATATTCAGTATAAATTATCGGACAGTATATTAACAAAACGGAGGTTATAAAGGCAAAGGGGTATTATGAATTTGGATGCTCGTTGGTCTGCAATTTGAAAAAAAATATAGACCTATAAATTCCAAACGTTTTCCTTTTGTCTGACTTAATCTCAAGAATGTATTATATCGATGAAAATAGAGACAATATGTAGAAAGATTCGGGTTAGGAGGCTATGATTAACTCTATATGAACTTCCATTCTACCACGAAAATCACGTAATTTCAATTCAAACATTTTCTCCAGAATGGAGTTGACCGGCATGACTCTATTGTTATTAGGCAAAGTATGATATACAGGGGCAAGACGGTACTAATTTGAGATCGAGAGGATATATTTTAAAAATTATTTGAAATAAATTTAGATACAGTTGCAACTCGGGGTGAAAGATTAGAACTTCTTGTAGACAAAACAGAAAATCTTAGTTCTTCTGTAAGTATTTTTTAAGTCATTTTTACATTATCAAAGAACTTATGTTTATCTGTTAAATAAGAAAAATTATATTCTTATTCTTGAGTAAGAGCATTCAAAGGAAAAGAAAAATTATTTTGAATTATATGTATTAAGTAGGTTGAAATAAATCAGTATTGTTAGATATAAAGCTAAACTCAATACACATCATCTCAATATGGCTAATAATTAATTAGCCATATAGTAGTCCATCATTTGATTATAAAATAAATCAAATTGTAGATTTTGAAAAATTTTCAAAATAAAAGTGACAAAATTTGATAATTTTTAATTATCAATATTATGGAATTAAATTTACCAGCAGAAAAACTTTTCTTGGTCCATTGATTTAAGTATAAAAAACAATAGCTTACTTATTTCAGTATCTATAGAGAATTAATATTAGTCAATAAATTATTTATTTGTTTCAACAGAAACATTTCTCTGATAATAAAGATTATGATACAGTTGCTCGAGTACAAGGAGAACTAGATGAACTTAAAGATATAATGGTTAAAAATATTGGTGAGTAATTTTTCATTTGTGAAAAAATTACATGTGCTATTTTATTAAACATAATAATGTATCTAAATTATAATTGGAATGGTTACTTTTCCTCATATGATATTTGTGTTGGAGCAAGTAAACATCTAAAAAGGATGGAATTTATAAAGCTTCCTTTAACGAACTGGCCATCATTTAAAACCTTCTCTTATGCATGGAGATTCTATATGAAACCTTTTTTGATCTTATTTACAAACTGTTGCCCAGCTTGATCATGTCAGTTATTATGTATGTATTCTACCTAGTGAAATTCACATGCTTGTTTTTAAAAAAGGTTTAAGTTCTATTTTCCATATTTATTCTTTGACCTGAACATGACGATTTAAAATTGTTGAAAACATTTGTTTATATAGTTAAACTTTATTTTTTGGTGTTTATGAAGATTTTTGCAAAATAAAACTGACATGCTGAACCATTACATTGTTTTAACACAACAATCATAAAAGATTACCAATCTCTAGGCTAGATACTGGTGTTGCAACGAATAGTATATTCGGCCAGGAGCGTGGCAGAATATTCGTCTATTCTGCCAAACTATTTGGCTTGATTAATGCACATACGAAAATTGGCGCGCAAACTGCATTATGGCAAGGACCCTTCTCTCCATTGGCCTGCTGTCACTGCGCTTTGCCAATTGCATTAATTATTGACAGTTGTAGCGGACAGACCAGAGTGTCATGGCAGTAAGTGATAAATGATATCAAATGTGAATAACAATGAAATGACCTACATGTGTAAATAACGGAAAAAGAACAGAGAAAGACGTGAAGTGAAAATGTGAAAATAAATGTGAAATTGAGTTGATAACATAATCGAACAAGTCGAGGCAACTTATTGGCGCGAAATTCGTGGCCGTCAATGCCAAACAATTGTTGTCATAGACTTCGGAAAGCTAAATGCTTGTAATGAAAGTCATTTAGTGTGCACGGGCGAAAGCCTGGGACCATTCAGGCTATCAAGCTGTCTGGAATCTGTGAAATCATAACTGTGACATATACCGATGTATCTGTCTCTTTTCTCCGTTATCACCAGGCTATGAGTCACGTAATTATAAAATGGAAAAACTACGACGGAAAAGTGAAGAATCAAAAGTATCGTGAGTGCGTATTATGATGTATGCATAGGCATACGTGGACTAGAGAGATAGAGGAAAGAGAAAGGAAAGACGAGCGCTTAAAAAGGATAGGCAGGGTCAGACCCTCAGATGTGTGCGACAATTCTCGAATGAATAGGTGTGTACATGTGCTGATATTTGTAATTATAAATTGTAAATACATGTGACTAATATTATTTTTTTTTATTTTGTGCATGTTATAAGTTATAAATAAATATAAACAACACTACCTGATAACATTAAATCTAAATACCAAAATGATTAATTTACTGTGTTTTTGTTATTTCTTACTCTTGCTTTTAGGTATTCGGTATTCGGCCGAATAGTGATTAAATATTCGTTATTTGGCTGAATACCGAATAGTAACCAAATATTCATTACATCACTACTAGATACTCTTGGTATACATAAGCATGCTGCAGTAGAATATTTTATTTATCAATCGCCTCTTGCAATTTTTATTAATTTTATCAAAGTTTAGTAATTATCCTTACCAATGTAAATGGCAAATTGAATATTTTTCCTGTGAATTTTTTACAATATATTTTAGAATAAAAGTTAATGAGAGTTTTCCTAAAGTCATTGCTTTTTCCAAGTGTTCGTAAAGGCTACACTGTGATGATGAGTAGTGACTTATTTGATCAATTGATCATCAAGCAAAGCATGTCTTGGAAATGATGAGCTCAATGCTTAATTTTATGAAATTAATTCAGTGATGATGTCATTAAACCTTAACCAAATAGTTATTGATGAGTATCAATGACTTTAGGAAGACACTCAATGAAATATACAGTAGTTTATTCATGTTATTCATAAAAATATGAATTATAATATACAGTATAATAATAATTTAAAATAAAAAATTTTTTGAATTTTATTTTATTTATTATTATCTATTATATTTTATGATATATTTTAAAAATTATTTGAAATAAATTTAGATACAGTTGCAACTCGGGGTGAAAGATTAGAACTTCTTGTAGACAAAACAGAAAATCTTAGTTCTTCTGTAAGTATTTTTTAAGTCATTTTTACATTATCAAAGAACTTATGTTTATCTGTTAAATAAGAAAAATTATATTCTTATTCTTGAGTAAGAGCATTCAAAGGAAAAGAAAAATTATTTTGAATTATATGTATTAAGTAGGTTGAAATAAATCAGTATTGTTAGATATAAAGCTAAACTCAATACACATCATCTCAATATGGCTAATAATTAATTAGCCATATAGTAGTCCATCATTTGATTATAAAATAAATCAAATTGTAGATTTTGAAAAATTTTCAAAATAAAAGTGACAAAATTTGATAATTTTTAATTATCAATATTATGGAATTAAATTTACCAGCAGAAAAACTTTTCTTGGTGGCAATCTGAAATTTTGTGTTAAGTTGTAGATTTTCTAATAAAATAATTCAGAAATGTTTTTTTGAAACTTCTTTGATAGTTCCAGGAGAACAGTAATATAGAATTCATTTTCAGAATGTTGTAGCTTTAATTTTATCAATTTTGACAATAAAAATTTTCATTTTCTAGAATTTTTACAAAATAAATTTAAATGATGCATAAATAATATGTAAAAAATAGTTGATATTTTCATTCTATTTAGACAATTTAAAAATTTTAAATATAATTCTATAATAAAATTTATTGTTCTTAACATCTCATTTTTTTATTTTTGTATAAAGTGAAATTTTAGTACTGCAGGGATGTTTTTAATCACTCTATGTATACAAATATTTTTACAGTATTACATTAATAAACTGTTAAAATAAAATGTATTTATTTATTTAAAATAAATCATATTGAAATATTATTATTAAATATTTCAGGCTATAACATTTCGGAAATCTAGCAGAAATTTGGCTCGTTCGATGCTGTTGAAAAATATTAAAATTACAATTATTATAGTTGCTACTATAATTGTAAGTATTAAAGTTTTTTCATTTATATTTCATTATTTACATTTAAAATTCTTTGTTTTAATGTTTATAATTTTATTATTTTTAGATTATACTATACTTTATTGTGAGTGCTGCATGCGGTGGATTAGATTGGAAAAAGTGTGTGCAATGATGGTAAAACAATTGAATATTTTGTAAAGTTTTATATCAAAGAAAATATTATCCTGATATCTTTAGGGAACAAAAAAGAAAAACTTGTATATAATTGTGTCACAGAATTTCTGATTATTAATAAAATTTCAAAAATATTGTTATAAAAATAAAATATAATATTAGATATTGAATAAATTTTTGAAATAAATCCATATCACTTAATATCTATAATGTTAAAAGGCATCAAACTGTTTTATATAATTTTATTGTTTTTTTAATTAATTCAGTTTGTTCAATGTCCTAAATTATTCATTTAGATTAAATTACAAGAAAAGAGTAGTAAATTTATTCTGTTGTTTTTGAAACAGTCTATTAAATTTTTTAAATAATAATAATTTTATTATAGTTAATAAAAATTAATGTAATTCAAATTACATGCACATTAATAAGGATTAATTTTTAAGCATTATCTTTGATTTGGTTGCAATATTACCAATGTTATTTGACTAATTATCCTTAAATACTGGTAGTAACTGAATTTCATCCTTAAAGCTTGAAACAATAACCACTCTTGAATAGTAGCCATATCTACTATTCAAGGATTTCTGAAAACTCAGGAAAATAATGTAAAATTAATACTGTAAATTACTGTAGGTAGGTATCATATTTATTTGTTTAATAAACAAACTTTAATAAAAAATGAAATATGTAAAATGTATAATATACAATAGGTTTATTATTTTTATTACTAGTATGTAGAAAGTAATAAGTCAAAGAAAGATACCAGTTGCTATTTCAAGTGTAATTTGTTTTAAAAATCAAACATTTATAAATAAATATCTAAATTAATAATGACATAAAATGGTTATGTAGAAAGGAAACAATAGTTGGCCTTGAATAGTAATCACAGAAAAAATATGCAGCTTAAAATAGGATCCTTGACTATTATTTGAATAAAACTGATATTTGAGGATTTTTTTGAATGTAACTATTATTTAATGGCAACATTTTTTAAATATGAATCCAATAAAAAGTTCTAGGATATTAAATCCTCAATATTTCCAAAAATTAAATAAATATTATCTATATAAATAAAATATATATATATTTTGATTCTGATGAAACTGTGTTGTAGTTTACTTTGCTTTATACAGACGCATTATGATGACTTTTTTCAAAACACTTGGCAGATTATTCATCTCTTTATTCAGTTGGGACGCAATTTACAAGTCACGTTTCGGGCATTAGCCCCTCTTCAGCCAACTAAATATTAAAATCAAACATGAGAAAATATACATATTCATATGCGAATAAAACATTCTGTAGATATAACACATTTAAAAAAATAAAAAACATACCTTAAAAGTACATATTACAAACATACAGATGGCGTACAAAATGGACTGCATCATATTCTATAGATCGAGTGAAGAATGAACAGATTGATAAGTCTCAAACCTGACTGCTTGATAACAGGACTTTCAAATTTGACGGTCTTTAAATTTATACAAATAATGTTCAAATAAATAAATTGAAATTTATAAACAATTTTTAACAGCATTTGTTTTACCTGTAATTTATATTCAGACATATTACCCAAATTCACACATTAACTGTTGTAGCTTTTTTAAGACAAGTCTTGTGCACAGTTATCCCAATGACACTATCTGGTCTGCTAATTTACATATATATCTGTGAACTGATTTGAAACGATTTCAGTATTCAATAAAAAGTTGTGTACAAACAGAAATTAATAGTATATTAATATTAGCTTATAATATTTCTGGATTTTTACAATCATTATTTATTTATACATGAACTTTGAACCTTAATGATTATCACTATAATTATATCCAATAATCTCTTACAATTATAATATTTTAAACCAGTTCTCACTAATTTTGATGCTTAAGTTTTTATTTATACAATTGTTATTTTTATTTTTAATAATCTCAANAAAAGTTGTGTACAAACAGAAATTATTAGTATATTAATATTAGCTTATAATATTTCTGGATTTTTACAATCATTATTTATTTATACATGAACTTTGAACCTTGATGATTATAACCATAATTTTATTCAATAATCTCTAACACAATTATAATATTTTTAACCAGTTCTCACTAATTTTGATACTTAAGTTTTTATTTATACAATTGTTATATTTATTTTTATTAATCTCAACACACACTTTAAATTTTCTGTTATATGTTTTCTTTTTATATAAAATCTGTATGTTAGATATATCTATGTTGCAATCGTTTAGTACACAATGATCGTGGAATACTGAGTTTAATCGGTGATACTTCAAATCAGACATATTTTCTTTAACCCATATTTTTAGTTTGCGTTTTGTCTCGCCTATATAAAAACTCTTGTTTTTACATATACGTGGTATTTTTTCATTTCTTCTTTATTTATTTTTTGTTTTTTTATACTTTGTTTGGCCTTCAATCTGGAGAATAGATTTCCATATTTTGGAGCAAGTTTCATGGTATTTTTCTTCATTTCTGTATCTATTTGCTCGTACATGTTTTTTATGTATTGAAAACCTAAATATTTTACTTTTGTTTTGGTTTTTTCATCTTTTGTTTTAGTAGTGTTATCTATTATTTGTTGTCATTTGTTAATTAATCTGATTGGATATCCATTTAAATTAAATTTTTTCTTTAAATTATTTATATATTTATTTTTATTAATTTCGTTACTAGTTTTATTTTGTATTTTTGTATACTCCATATAAAAAACATTCTTTTTGATATAATTCTAATATACCTTTGTATATCTTATTGTAGTTTCAATTGAACATGGTTTTCTAAAAGGCTCAAATTCTAACTTATTTTCTTTTCTTGTGATTACGACATCTAGGTACCATATACTGTTGTCAACGATATTTGCTTCTTCAATTGTAAATTGTATTTCTTTATCTATATTATTTATTATTTTTTCTATTTCTTTAATTTTAACTTCTGCATCGTTGTATATAATTAAAACATCGTCAACATATCTTTTATAATATTTTATACCTGGTATATTTTTAATTGCTTCATCTATATCGATCATTATTATTTCGGCGAGCTTTGGTCCGATAATTTTCGGTAATCGATAAAAAGTTGTCTGTATACAACTTTTTATCGATTACCGAAAATTCTTTTAAATTCGTTTATTGGTATAGGCCTATATGCAAATTAGAAAACCGAACTACGTCGCTGTGATGGTCGTGCGTGAGACGTGTCTGTATGTAACAGTAGCAAGTCATTGTGTAAATTTAAGTGATATGCCTCTTGGCATATCACTTAAATCTACACAATGACTGTTGCTACTGTTATATACAGACAGGTCTCACGCACGACCATCACAGCTACGTAGTTCGGTTTTCTAATTTGCATATAGGCCTATACCAATAAACGAATTTAAAAGAATTTTCGGTAATCGATAAAAAGTTGTATACAGACAACTTTTTATCGATTACCGAAAATTATCGGACCAAAGCTCGCCGAAATAATAATGATCGATATAGATGAAGCAATTAAAAATATACCAGGTATAAAATATTATAAAAGATATGTTGACGATGTTTTAATTATATACAACGATGCAGAAGTTAAAATTAAAGAAATAGAAAAAATAATAAATAATATAGATAAAGAAATCCAATTTAAAATTAAAGAAGAAAACACAGTTGATAATAGTATACAATATCTAGATGTTATAATAACAAGGAAAGAAAACGAATTAGAATTTGAACCCTTCAGAAAACCTTGTTCGATNATAAAATTAACTGAATTAAGTTTGAATACAAGTTTATTTTAAGCTTTTATATGAATTTCTTTCAGACATTCGAAGTAATTTATTAAGCAGCCTATTTCTTTTAATTTCTGCAAACTTTTTTTAATGCGGTTTTAAGTTAATTTTAATTCGTTGTTTTGATTTTATGCGATTTTAGAAAATTACGGAACGTATCCCTACCTTTTCAAGGCAAGTAAAGTTTTTTTTTATGCGCTTTTCTGTAGAACGTATCCACCGCATAAAACGAGACCTTACAGTACTAGGCAAAAAAAATGTTAAAATTCTTTCTCTGTAAGAAGTTTTAATAGTCAAACTTCTAGGGGGAAAGTCTACAGTGACTATGGTAACAAAATTCACAATATTCTAAACATGGAGCCACCATTCTTTTAAACATTGCATCACATATGTATCACAGTTTGTGTAATATAAAACAGTCTTTCTATAAATAGATCACTGACCCCTATTCATTAAAAATATCCAAATACCACTTGTTATATAATTACATTGTTCTGATAATTATATTATAATTATTTTGTTAATAGTAACATACAAAGAACATATGCATTGGGAGGATTTTGATAGAAACAAAAATCTAAATCATATTTGTAGAAAAAGTATACTTCAATAATCAGTATAGCCTGCTTTGGCCTTTAAAACCTTCCTAATGCAATCAGACATATAATTAATAATAATTCTGCAATTGTGCAATGTTATTTTGTTCCACTCATTTTGTACATATTCCCATAATTGGTGGATGCTTTCAGGCTGAGCTGCATAGTCAGACAAATGACGTTTAAGAAGGAAAAAGATGTGTTCATTCAGGTTGAGATCAGGCGATTGAGGTGACTCAATCAGGCTATTTTGATCCTGAAGCCAGGTCATTGCTTTTCTGGATGCATGTTTTGATCATTGCAGATAAATGAAAGAACTCTTATCAATCTGGTAATAATCAACAGATTGTAACAATACAATAAATATAAGTATAAGTTTAAATGACTGAAGCAAAGATAAAACCTTTGCTTCAGTCATTTAAACTTATTATTAATTTTACTTAAGATTGTAACAAATAATTGTCAAGTATCTCAGTGTAAATAATGATATCCATTCTATTAGGTATATAGCATTCCAGACCCAAAATAGATAATACAGCCCCAAACCATAAGACTACCACCAAATTTCAATGTTGTTTGTACTTCTCGCTCAGTTATATGCTTCCCCTGGTGAAGTTAACTGTAGAGACTTCTCCCAGCTAACAACTATAGTCAACTATCCAGACTTTTTCCTACCTCCACGAGTGGACACCATCCTGTTTGAACTTCGTGCTATCGCCCTTCGTCACAACCTCCCACACCATTGAGCATCAACTGACTGCCCCGGGGCCAAAAACTGAATAGTCCAGATCTACCAGAAGACAAGACACGCTAGATTATAAGACAGTATAAATAAACGGGTTTGTTTGTTACTGTACCCATTTGCCTCACTTTCCTTCATCCCACATACAATAAATCCTGACATTTGGATATCACCAATTTCGCGACCTTCACAAACGTATGCAGGATTTCTTATCTGTCGAAATGTATAATTTAGTCTCTCCAAGTAGTTGAATACGAACAGAAGAAGAATAATTTGAGTGAGTATCAAAGTGAAAAGATTATAGGTGATGAAGATAAAGAAAATAGAAAAATCAACATGACAAAAATATTTCGAGTCTCGTTCGAGAGAAGAGGAAACAAATAAAAATCAATATAGATTACCATTACGAACAGATATAGAAAATAGAACATAAAGCGAGTAAAATTAGAATATTTTGATAGAATTTCAGTTCGACCTCGTTCATTACATTATCGGGATTGGAATAATTTTTCCTCTTAAAGTTACTAAATTAAAGACAGATGAGAATATTTATCATTGAAATTGTCGATGTAACATATTCAGATCTATCAGAAAACATTGAGATGATTTCGGCCTATCTCCTTATAGATGGAACAGAGGGCCTTGTGGTGACTACCACAAGGCCCTCTGTTCCGAATGTTTCAGCCCAATTCCATAGCCCGAATGTTTCAGCCCAGGCAATTCTATCATCGTGTGATAGAATTGCCTGGGCTGAAACATTCGGAAAGGATAAATATCTACAAACTGTTCGGGATAAGGACTGCATGAATATAGATAGTCCATTTATATGTTACTGTGGACATATAATCATATCACTTAGCAAAATCGCTGTAGAGGAAATTGCCGTCAACTTTAATGTTATAAACAATAATGTAACGAAACGATGACGTCATCTATGTTTATACAAAATATATTTTATATTATCATCCTGTTATTGGACGCCGTTTAGTAAAATCGTTATAAAAAGATTTAATTCGCAATAATTCGTGCTTTTGTAATTTTTAGTAACATTTTGAATAAAATACATTTGTTTCCATGTAATTTTATCTTTATAAGCATAAAGTTAAGCCGTAAAACTGAATTAGCGCTATGGGAAACCGCCGTGAAGTTTTACCTATCTACCCGGAAGTTTCGCCTGTATTTTACTGATAACGAGAAATACTTAATTATCTAAATTAATTCGTATATGTGACTAAATTGAGACTTAAAATTTTTCTGTCCCTAAAACAATTTTCAAAAACGTTTTGTATGATTAGTTTGAAAATATTATTTTAAAATTCTTATATGAACCCATAAAGGGAAGGAAAATGAAATTTGTAGGCAAAAATATTCATTTTTCTCAACAACAATAGCGCTCGTCGACAATAGTTTTTCTTTTCGATTGTTTCGAAGGCTTTCGTTTGCGTTCTTTACTGTTTTGTGATTTTCGAAGAGTGAAATGAGTGGAGAGAGAAAGAGTTTCTTGCGTAGGATCTTCGGAGGAAGACCCACGAGCAATAAGATAGGTGTAGAGAGAGAGGAGCAGAGAGATGAAGAGATGGGTCATGGTCCCACAGAGAATCCGGAAGTCAGTGGAATTCCGATCGAAATACTGGTTCTTCCTCGACGTTTGGAGGATCCAGAATCTAGTGGATTTCAGCCGGATCCGGAGTTTCTTTTGGAGCGTTCGGAGCAAGCCCGACGTATCGAATGGGTCGAGCCGAAGCTCTATTGGAGTCCGTGTAAGATATACCGACTGAGATTAGCTCATATGAGCGACGAGGAGATCGAGGCCGAAATGTGGGCCGAGGGCATCGAGTTCGATCGAAATAAACGTCATTCGGATCATTTTATGAGAGGGGCGCTTTCAAAATTGGTGAAAGTGATAAGAAATGTGCGGGAATTCTCTTGTTCCTGCTTTGATGGCTGTAAGAAAATTAAAGTTCATCCACTTATGAACGATGAGTTACGTCTTCGCAATCGTCTTTTCGGGTAATTGTCATTTTCACAGATTGAATGTGGTTTAAATTCAATATTTGCTTTTCACAACGATTAATCTTTAATTCTACTTTATAGCCCTCTCCTCACAAACGTCGAAAGTATAGAACTGGAGGAGTTCTAGACGAACTCAGAGACCTTGAAGTTATCTAGCGTGGTCCTATCTTCCAGTTGTGATTAAATGAGTGCAATTTATCGACTTGTGACGCTATTTACCGGACTTGACTCTGTAACTCGGACTTGACGACTTTTCCTGGATTTGACCTGAAAACTCGGATGTGACCGAAGTCTCCAACGGGACTTCAAACTTCGGGTGTGACAGAAGGATGATTCTCAAATGGACTTTCGAATAAGCGGGGAATCATTTCCTTCGGACTTTTGTGAATTCAATGTGTTTTATATTGTGTTTGTGATTTAATCGAGGGACAGTTTGCCTCTGATGTATGAGCTGAAAACCCGGGTGTGACTTTAAACCTCGGATGTGACAGAAGGATGATTCTCGAATGGACTTTCGTATAAGCGGGGAATCATTTCCTTCGGACTTTTGTGAATTCAATGTATTTTATATCGTGTTTGTGATTTAATCGATGGACAGAATTTTGAACTTTTCAGAGAACAGACTGAAATTTACATGCATCTTTATGACTTATTCTTACCTTAATCCTGTCTTGTGCCTATAGTTTAATATTTGTATTCAATTAAAATTTAATCGTGTTAATTATTTGTAATTTGTATATCGAGTTAAAAAACATTATATAATAAACTTCTCAAAAAATAAATATGTTATTGTGAAATATATTATGCATTATATAATATAATATAATAAAAATAACGTATTATATTATAAGTTACAACGATTACAAATAACGAAGTTTAAACTTAATAACCGACGTTACAATAATAGAGGCGGCAAACACGTGAATCTGCCACACTGTCAGTCGGATTGAATTCAATTGATATTATAAATCCCAGTTTATAGACCATTTCCGTTCACGACTGAATGGTGACCGGTTAAGGTAAGGTGACAGTCTTTTGCTCTGGGGAACCAGAAATCGAATTCGAATGGGCCGCAAAACCACAGGAATTTTTCGATTGTGATTCGTCCGGCAGAGCCATGTGAAATAGTTTGTTACCCAAAGCAATTTGAAATCACTCCTGATTCAATGCTAATTACAAAATGTTGTAATTTTGTAATTAAAACGTAATGTAATGTAAAACGTTCATTTTGGCGCTAGGGACACATGTCCACCTTCGCTCTTTTTAGTTACGCCTCTGTCCTTGGCCCAGCAGTGGCCAAGCGGTTCCGTTTCCTGAACGCTGGGAGTTCGGTCGTGAGCTTGCGCCTCGCCCGGACTGGCTGGCCACGTGGTTTTTCGGGTTTTCTCCATGTCTGTTCCCTGAATATGGGCCAATAACCCTTAAAAAGACATTCTGGGAGCCATTTCCCTTAGGCAGATCGCCAAGTGTTGCATTTCCGCAAATTAACCAAACAACAACTGTCGTCCGGATATGTGGGGTCTGTCGCTCACCATCCGGCCGCCCCATTGTGGGTTTGGCAGAACCCATATAGGGCTTGGTAAAAGCCCAGAGTGCTGTAGCACTGAAGGTCGTTGAACAATGTTCTGTTGCAGTTTAACAGTTCGTAGTGTGTATGAATCCATGTGGGTAGAAAAAAGGTTTTTTAGTACTCANGTTACCCAAAGCAATTTGAAATCACTCCTGATTCAATGCTAATTACAAAATGTTGTAATTTTGTAATTAAAACGTAATGTAATGTAAAACGTTCATTTTGGCGCTAGGGACACATGTCCACCTTCGCTCTTTTTAGTTACGCCTCTGTCCTTGGCTACTTGGTACTCTGTCCTTAGTACTGTACAAAAGTCCTGTTTAGATGAGTCGTCCACATCTACATCAACAGTGCCTGCTTTGGATTTGGCAAATGAAAACTCAGTGCCGCCCAATCACTTCCAGAAGTTGTTGAAGAGAGCCAAAAAATAACACCATCAGAAGTTCATCAAGAGCGGAGTGGCAGTAGCAGATATTAAACGAAGTTCCTTTTGATTCTGCATTATGAAATGCTTTCTGTATATCCTGTATATCATCTGAAACTTGTCAAATACTAATGGAGAGGGGTCCACATCAAATTAAAGAATTCGAGTTTCCTATTAATAAAGGAAGGCGTAGATTTTCGCCCTCGCATTATTTGAAAGTGTTGAGCAATGGTGAAGTCGTTGAGAGAAGTTGGTTGATTTACTCTGTTACAAATGATACTGTCTTTTGCTATTGTTGTATTTTATTTGATAATTCGTCTACTATTAGTGACTGGCCCGAAAAAGACTATTCTGACTGGGGGAATCTTCCAAGAGCCCTCACAATGCACGAAAAGTCTGTAAATCACAGAAATGCCTTTAGAGAATGGAAAGAATTAGGCATTCGATTAAAACAGAAAATAAAAACTATTGACGCTGAATATCAACGAATTATGGATATAGAAATTCAGCATTGGAAAGTTCTAAAAAGAATTATGTCAATAATTAGACTATTGGCTTCACAATGCTTAGCTTTTCATGGAACAACTGAACATTTGTTTCAGTCTAATAACGGAAACTTCTTAAAGTTGGTAGAATTGCTTTCTGAGTTTGATCCAGTTATGGAAGAACATATCAGGAGTTCAACGCGAGTCTGATAAATGGTCTGACTTATCTAAGCAATAATATACAGTTCAGTTCAGTTCAGTTCAGTTATTTTATTAAAGCACATATGCGTACATAACCAGCACCGCTAGGCATAGCTGGGGATAGGGTACATGAATACAAGTTACAGGAGAGCAATGTATGTATATAATTATACACTTACAAAATAAAATAAGAGATAACATGGTAGCAGAGTGTAACATTAAATTGTAAGACCTACAATAATTTACAGTAGATACATGCATATTGTGCTGATAACGCTGTAAGTGAATATACAACGAAAGACAAGCACAGTTTAAATATACAATACATAATAAGAGGTAGATATTTTACAAAACAAATTACAGGTGATCAATATATGTATATAATTAAGAACACATACAGAATAAAGTAAAGATGAAAGTAGTAGCAGAGTATAAGGGTAAAACAGTAAATTTTAAAATATATACACGCATAGAATTAAGTTAACATAATATGTGGATAAACATTGAAAAAACAAAGTAAAGGTTAGATGTAGAGTACATTATAAAAGAAAGTATGCAGTATTTAAATGTTGATATACAGCAGCAGAGAGGGATGCAGGCAGACAGGTGAGAGTTGATGTGCCAGTGGGAACATTAGTCTTGATGTTATACTGGTCGATTAGGGTTATAAATTGGTTGTAAGTGTCCTTGTTGTTGATCAAGTCATTAAGGAACTCATGGTTATTTTGTGGCCAATGGCCATGCCGACTGCTGATGAGCAATTGTAGTTGTGTCCTCTCAAAGTCCAGCATTGCACAATGAAGAATGTAGTGGAGGCTGCCATCCTGAGTGTTGCATGTTGTGCAAAGGCCATTGTTATATGGATCCACAAATCGACTGATGTAGCAGTGGAAGCGACCGTGGTTAGTCAGAAACTGGGTGAGCTTGAAGTTAGGGGTGATCCATTTATAGTTGAAGATTGCAGAGATGTCCGGGAAGAACTGGTAAGTGATGTTTTGGTTGTTGTCCCAATTATTTTGCCAGGTGATGAGTAGATCGTTCCAAAGGAGCTTTTTGATAGCGGTCAGGCTGAGCTTATTGTAGATAATAGGGAGAGTTTGATCTGTGGCAGCAGATTTAGCCAGGGCGTCAGCACGTTCATTACCGATGATGCCCTGGTGGGCATGGACCCAGTTGATGCTGAAGGAGTTGCTACAGTTTTTGACAGCTTCGTGGATGACATATGCAATAGGGTGAAGGTTTCTGTGACTTATGAGGGAGATGGCGGAGTTGCTGTCAGAGTGTAGTGCAATGTTGGTGTTGTGGAAGTTCACGGAGCACCAATCGATGGCTGTCTTGATGGCAAGCAGCTCAGATTGGAAAACAGAGCAGCTGCCGTGTAACCGGTTCCTTTGGTTAAAGATCTCCGTTCCATTCTGGAAAACAACAAAGCTGCAGCCCACCTGGTTGTCGATTTTTGATCCGTCAGTGTAGATGTCAATGGAAGGAGGAGAGTGAAAGTTATGGATGAAATTGGGAGGTTCATTAGGATAAGGTGAGTTGCTGTAGTTGATCGGGCATTCGAGCATGTCTGCCTGAATAGTAGTAGAGCTGGTGGTGATGTTATTGCCCCATTTGATGTTCCAGACTTCGCTGTAAAGTTTTATTATCTGGTCTATTGGTGGCTTTTTACAAATCACTTGTAGGCTGGAGTTGGGAGCAGTACGGTAAGCTTTAGCGATGCGTAGTAGTGCTGTCCTCTGGGCAGAGATCAGCTTCCGACGTGGATGGGATTTCACGGCGGCATTGCCCCAAGTGCCACAGCCATAGGTCACGATGGGAACAAAGATAGTGTCATATATTACACTCATGGCTTCGGAGTTAAGGCCCCAGTTGTTTTTGGCCACTCTGGCAAAGGAGGGGAAGATGAGGCCAACACGGTCGCAGATGTATTTTATGTGCTGCTCCCAAGATAGGTGGAAGTCAAGAACGACGCCCAGGTACTGTACTTCAAAGTCTTCTGTATTTTAATGGAATGTCCATTCATTTTAATGGTAGGAACTCTTTTATATAAGTTGGGTTTGCGAGGACTGTTGAAAACGATTCCCCTGGTCTTCTGGAGGTTGAAATGCAGTTTGTGGAGGATACCCCAGCGATGTATGTTCTGGAGAATGCTACTGGCTTTATTTTTCAGGTCAGCCCGGGATGTACCACCAACAAGAACCATAACGTCATCTACATAAGCAGTTAAGGAGTCCTGGCCGAAATTGGAATTAAGGAAATTGTTGAATGCAATGTTCCATAAGAGGGGGCCACAGACGGAACCCTGTGGGCATCCCCGGACGACATTCTTATAGTGTGATAGGTTGCCAATTTGGAGCACAGCTTTCCTGTCTTTAAGGTAGTTACGAATTAGATTAAAAAGGTTGGTGGGGCAGGCAGTGTCACTGAGTCTCTTGAGGATCAGAGGCCACCAAACGCTGTCAAAGGCCTTTTCGATATCGAGGCTTATGCCAAGGACGTATTTATACTGAGTAAGAAGGCGGTGGACGTTGTCGGTGACAGCGTTAATTGCGTCACTGGAGGATTTCTGGTGTCTAAAGCCATATTGCGAAGCTTGAAGATGTTGGGTGGTCTCTACATGCCATGTTAGCCTCGTGGTGATTAGCTTTTCCAAGACTTTACCGAGGACGGGGAGGAGTGAAATCGGTTTTCAGGCGGACGAGCCGGGTTTAGGAATTGGAACCAGTTTAGCAACCTTCCAGGCCTCCGGGAAAATACCATGCTGCAAACAGGTGTTGTAAATGTGCAGCAGATGGTAAGGACACAGTTCCCATATCCTTTTGGCAAGCTTCGCAGGAATGCCGTCAATACCAGGAGCTTTGGTTGTAGGAAGTTCTTTGAATATCTTGTCAACCTCATGGTGAGCAAAAAGAGGGATGTTTTGATTGTTTATGTTGTGGTATTTGTTGTTCCTGATATAATGGTGCCATGATTCGTCGTCAGCAGGGTTATCGTCAAGGCAAAAGGTGTCCATTTGGTGTTTGAGGGCGTCTTGTATATTTTCATTGGTAGTGGTTTTGAGGAGGTGACTTCTTTTCAATTTGCCTGTGCACAGCTTTGAGATATAGCCCCATAGATTGATGGAGGCCTTGGTGCAGTAGTTCCTCCAAGAGGAGAGTTTGGCTCTCTTAATTTCTTGTTTGTATGTTTTTTGGTAATCAATGTAATTTTCTTTGAGTTGACTGCGCTGCGGCTCGCTCCTGCATCGTTGAAAAGACTTGCGTAGGCGCCTGACGTGGTTTCGCATGCCAGTGAGATCCGTATTCCACCAGGGAACGGTCTTACGATGGAGGGAAGTACGTGGGATAAAGAGATTGCAGGCAGTAGTTATGTTATTGATGGAGTTGTTAATAAAATTGTGGGCATCTTCCAAGTCCAAGGGGTTATAAATGGTTAACTTGGTTTGGAGGAAGTGAGTGAAGCCTTCCCAGTCGGCACAAGACAGGTTGTAACGCAGCGAAGGGTCGATGTCTCTGATGTTGGTTGAGGTGGTCATTTCAAAGTGCAGGTAAGCGTGCTCACTAAGCGAAACTTCCTGGAGGACCTTCCAGTTTGTAATGAGATTAGAGCGGTCGAGAGAGGCAGTGGTGATATCTATCCAGCTTTGGCCTCTGGAGCTGGAGAAAGTTGGTGGGGAGAATGGATCGTTGACAAGAATCAGATTGTTAGTGGCTAGAAAGTTTTCCAAGGCATCGCCTCTGTTATCCTGGCGGTCACCCCCAGGCAGAGGAGTGTGAGTTAAAGTCTCCGACGAGAAGAAGGTTGTTGTTTTGAAGATTGTTTATGGTGTCTTGAAGATGGTCCAGAAAGCTATGAATATTGTTATTGTAAGGGATATACATTGATAATGTATAACTGTTATTATTGATGATGGTTTCGATGCATACGATGTGCTCGCTGCTGTGTTGTTTATGAAGGAGAATCGGAAGTTTTTGTTGTTTACGACAGTGATAGCCCAAGGGTAGTCCTCAGTACCCTTGACAATTGTTGAAGAGGTGGGAAGGCAGGCAGGAATGTTCCTTTGGCAGTACGGCTCTTGTATGAAGATAAAGTCATAGTTATTGATTTTAGCAGCAAGAAGGGAAGTGGCATCAATGCCTCTGCCCAAGTTGACCTGCAGGAAACTAATATGTTTATGGCTACTCTGATCCATAGTCAGTCCTTGAGATAATGTTCAATCTTGTTCGCTGGTATACTGGGCAGGAGCTGTCTCTTGCATTGTGATCCAGTGTTTTTTAACTTATCATGGTGGCAGTTGCAGCATGTTGGCTTCTGGTTTTTATTAGGGCACTCCTTGAATATGTGTTCCTGATTGCAGTGACTGCATGTATTCTTCGTTTGGGAGCACTCTTTGAAAGAGTGTCCATAGCCACAATAGCACTGCAGAACTGGGCAAAAGTCACCCACTCTGCAGCGGGACCATTCAATGTTAATCTTTCCTGTCATGAGTAGACACTTACGAAGCTTTGGTGACACTTCTATAATACGATTTTTGTATTGGGCATCTCTCTTCCCTGTGGCAAATTTGACACAAAACTGGTTGTTGAATTCTTCCTCAGAGAATGTTTCGTTTATAAGGTAGTTCTGGTTGTATATGCAATGTGTTAGACTATCTTGTGTTTCGAAATTGGGTACGGAGTACAATATCACATGCGGTTTCCTTTTCTTTGGAAGCCGGGTGGTAACATCTGGTAATTTTTCTTTAATACAGTTCTCCAGGTTAGCTATGTCCTCCTTCTTTTCCAGGTCTACGGCAACACCTTTGCCAGCGATTTTCCTGATCTTGTTCACTCCGATTTTTAGTACTGATGGTCTGATCTCTTTTTGCAGTAGCTTACATAGATTATCGCTGTTGCTTTTTTCGTCCTTACTATACACCAGGAGGACGTTGTTAGATAAAACATGCGGTTGTTTAGTTTTAGTAGAGATATTGACGTTTATGCCGGATTTTAAAATGGTGCTATAAG